CACGTGAAGTGACGCTCTCGGAAATTGATCACAAATAACGAATACGTGTAATATAGCAATAAACTATAAATACTCGACAAAAACTAATGAAAAGAAAATTGTAAACTGTTCTACATTTCGATCGTGTAATGCATGCCACTTCCATTGTGCATAAATAATCAACGGTAACAATGAAATGAAGGTGACGTTGAACAAAACAGCACAGCCAATCAATTTGTAGTTCAAATTTTCATATAACAAGAGACAAGACCTTCATGAACCGAACAAATATCTTCACACTCACAAAATTGACACATTTAGATTAAAAGTGCAGTGCATTGTTCTGTCGTTGAATGGCAGAACACATGATGGAATTTAATTCACTTCCACCACGTTCGTCATCGTTTTCATGCTTGTTTGTATAATTTCGTTTGCTAATGCCGTTGGATTACACATTGTATTGTAAAACGACACATAAAAAGTAATTGTCATTCAATGTGAAGGCGTTCGAATAAAAAAAAATACAAAGTGTTAATGATGTACCGCGGAGAATGTTCGATTTATTTAAACTCCGAAGGTGTCATTCAATTTATTCAATAATGCCACAGAAAAGAGTCGGTTAAGCTCTTAATGAGCTCTTATAATAACAAAATCGGCTAGGCGGTGCACATTCATTCGATAAAACAGCATGTTTCGTGCTTTTTTCCAAATCATAACAAGACCGTTTTTTTTCGTTCGGTTATATTTGTGCTTCAGTTGCAAGTTTTTTTTTGTCATTTAAAATCGTTCGATGAAACATCGATGAAAACGGTTTCCGTGGCGATTTTCCCAATTTTGTATTGCATTGTGTCAAACGTGATACTTAATGCGATTATGCAAAGTGAATTTTTGCGACGAGCAACAAAAAAAATGCCTATATGGAAAATGTCAAGTATTTATTTGGTTGGCAAAAAAAATGCACTAGGCATTCCCATTTTCAAATTGGTCATCATTACTTGGAATGCATGCGGCATGCGCGCTCGCTCAATATAATGTCGATGGAATTAGAAATGCTTTTGAAAGCACGCCAATTCATTATATGATTTTACAGTCGAATTGCTCGGATTTTGTGAGAAAAAGGGAAAATTAATATTCGCATGTATATACACCATGGCGGGGAAAATCCATTGAAAAGCGATTATAATCCGTAGCGATATTTTGTCGAACGAGCTATTTCCGCATTTTTGTTCTGCAATTTTGCTTCTCAAATAAAAGTCGCATTCTGCAACGATCAGATTTATCGTTATTTGCTGGATTTATGATCAGTGTATATATGTCAGCACGAAAAAAAAAATTCTTGCAAAAAAGAAAGAATGCGAACATCTGCACCGTATCGAACAGGAAGACGAGTTTCGCGATGAAAAACGAATTGGAAAGCAGTTTACCTTAAAATCTTGTTGTCTGATGTAAACACTTTTACGAAGAAAAATTGTCGAAATTACGAGCAAATGTGCTCGGAATGAAAATTGGCAATGCGAAAGAATTCATTTTATTTGAAAATGGACACGAACAAAAACGATACGGCCAATGCGTCGTTTCTTTTTGTTTTCTATCTCTTTCTTTTTCCTTCAAAATGACTTTTTCTTACCCCGAACAAAAAAATGAAATGCTGAAAAAGTTTTTCGCCTGCATTGCATACACTCGACCGAAAATAGTTCGACTCAGCACACTCGCCGATGGAGAGAGAAAAAAACGTATAAAACGAAAAGAATAAGGAATGTTGTTTGTGACTTGGACGATGCAGAGTAAAATTGAAATCAAATTAAAGGTGTGATTCTTGGAACGGAGGAGGAAACTGTGCTATTTTGAGTTCAGCATTAGATGCGCTTGAAAAAGTGCATATTCACAGCAAAGGCAAACAGAAAAATATTGACAAAAGCGCGCACGTATTTAAAATGGAAATTTCAGCTTTTGTTCTTTTGAGATTTTTCATAATAATAATAATATAAAAATTGTTTATTATATAATTGGATCGAGATGCATGTTTGGCCCTTTTTTCATGCTTTATGAAATGTATACTCTTTGTGCCATCATATTCTGGATTCTTTCCCTTTTTATCACATTTTCAACGAAACGATTTTTATATATAAAAGACAATATTCACGGCTATATACATTGACGCCCACTTCGTTTATTATGCAGTAAAAGCTGGAATTTAAAAAAAGAGTGATATTCTTATCTTATTTTCGGGTTTTTTGCTGAGTTGTCGAAAATCTTCAACAAACCCAAATTAATGCTCGCACACTCTTCGAGGCCATATTCATTTATTACTAGTTTCAAAAGCGATTTACTCGTTGATTAATTTTGCAGCCTGCTGCAGAAACTTAACAGAATAGAAAATGTCGATTCATTCCAAATTGGGTATCTGTCTACGGTGAACAAATGTTTGAAAAATTTAATACCACTTTTTTCATCACCTTTTCATTTCGGTATAAACTTTAACCCATAGATAAATCTAAAATTACCACAATAGCCAATTTAACGAGGCCTCGTTTGGATATGATACACAGCACATTAACCTAGTTGAACAGGTTGTGTCTGCAGTTACTAATTTTGGCGACTTTTGTTTTAAACCTGGTCTCTATGTTCGTCATGATATTTCGTTGACTTTTTTGTTCGGTAATTATTAAGGTTCATTGGCTATGACCATGTTGGTTATTTTAACATAACCGGGTGTGTTGACCGAGCTTAAGTTAATTGAATAATTTGACCCGATTAAATGGAAAATGCATGAGTTGATCTTGGTGTTTGTTTCGTTAATTACATCACACTCACACTGGTGTCCATTGTGTCATTAAGTTTTCAACAGCTTTATAGTCTCTCATATGATCACTTTTGGGCTCAACAAACAGCCACGTGCCCCTCTCGGTGCCGTGTCGGTGGTCCCAATGTAATTTTACTTACAGCAATGCTAATCAAGTATTCAATTTAATTTTGTCTGTTTTTGCTATCATAACATCGTTCTAATGGTCCAATTGACTTTTTTGAGGCTTGACATCTCAAATTACTCACTTTGGACTCAAAATTTAATCACACTTCAAAATTCTTTGCGGCGCAAGTTTTTTCATTGTTGGTTTCACACAACCGGCTAAGCCTATGAAGAGACAAAATGCGAATTCCCCTCATCTGTGCCATCTTGTATTCCATAGTTGAACTCAATTTAGTTACAATGAATTGAATCGAAAAAGAGAAAAAAAGCAACAACAGTAACATGGCTACATAGATCTGTTGACCAGTGAGATACGTATAGCAATGGAATGAAAGAATGAAGAAAGCGTATATGTGTATGTATGCATCAGCACGCATAGATGTACAGCTCTGTGTGGCCGTGCTATTGTTATTGTTTTTTTCTCTTTTTCATTTCAATGCTACAGAATTAAATTCAGTTTTTCGATCTAATTCGAACTAATGTGAGATGGCGCTGATCAGCTGCGTTCGCATAAAAAAGTTCCCAATCTCATATACGTCAACCCCGCTTGGTTTCACATCAAACAATCTATATGCAGGTAATTGTGTAGTAAAAATAAGTGTTCGCAAAAAAAAGCAACAACCATCATTTGTAGGCCACTTCAATAGGTGCTGAAGGTTTGCCATAATTGCTAAACGTTTCACTTTCGTCAAACGAGCGAGAAAATCTGGGCTCAGATACACAACGTAATTATATATATATATATCTATCTATTTATTTTTCATGACTTATATCGTTGTTTATTTTACATTCAAGTATTGAATCCGGGACTTGTTGTGACGCCAAAACGATGAAAGCAAAACCGAATCACTTCAAATAGTAAATGGGTATTATCGCACACTCAATTTGGATAAGTTTTTTTTGTTTGTTTGATTTGTATAATGTGGTGAAACATGAATCGGTAGTCGATTTTCTGAACAGCGTTCGTTATTTACATATAAATCTATTGAATTTATTGCGACAACTTTGATTGCTTTGTTGCCAACAAACTTCCAAATTAGTTAAATTCGAACTTTTAAGAACGAAATTGAATAATTCAATATCATAAAGCCATCTCCATCCGTAGTTTGCATTGTTGTGAATCTGTTTGTTTCAATCAAACGATAAGAAAAGTAGCGGAAACAAAAGAAACAGAACACCGAGTGTTCTCGAATCGAATCGACGTCAATGTCGTGTGTGTGTGTGCTGTACCACATACATACATTTATGAATTGAATTTCTCTGCAAATGACTGTGACTTTATCAATATTACAACATTTGTCGTTGTTACATTTTCCGTTCCGAGCGTGCTCACATTATTATTAGATCGTTTAATCTTCAATTTTGTGAATAAAACATGCGTTCGTGTCACGCATTATCTTTATGCTCGAATGGAAAAAAAAAGTTGACGGAATGCGGTATGACGGGTAAATGGTGCATGATAAAAATCTAGGAATTCGATTTATTTTCATCAAAGATCCAAAATGCGATGCTTTTGCATATATTATTTTGAGTAATACGTCACCAACGGTTTTCATCTTGATGAATTCCAATTATATTTTGACGCTAGACCAAACAAAACGAGTCCAATTTAAATTGTAAATTCGGATTCACACGTAAATTTCGGCATTTTTTTTTTGAATGAGACGCTTGAACAAAGCAAGCCACGCTTGTTTAACGATATGCTTGTGTGCGACAAAGTAACATTGAGACTTGCTTTGCAAACAGTATGATAATTCATCATTCGATTTCGGCACATTTGCTGTCTGCGCAATGTCGCTCGATTTTCAAAGACGGTATTTGCATGCACTTTATAGTGCGGAAAACTTTTGTGTACACACACCAACAAAGCATGTCGTATGTAATCAAAGAGATATGCCATTCAAAACCACACCGTAATTAGATCTCAATTATTCAAGTGTGAATTGCAATTAGAGATGAACAACAAAATGAAACGAAAAAAAAATGAAATTCGAAAAGCCAACAAAAATTAGGGAGGAAAAATCCGTAACACAAACAAACGATAAACACTTACCTCAATCGAATGTAGAATAATTAGACATCAATGAATTTGGTTACCTGTTTCGTCACACACAAAAGAGAAACTATTTTTTTTGTTGTTGATCGATTAATTTGGACTTCGAATGGTAGCATCGGTTTTCGCAATCCGCTTGCCCGTTTCAATCGTTGAAAAAATCGTTTGCATTCAATAAATTCTTGTTCATTTTTTTCGTGTGTGTATCATTCAAACCACATTGACTTTGGCCAACGATTCGCACGATATTCAACTTTGAGAAATACTTCAGACTGATTTCACTTCAATAGCATTTATTTTGTTGACATTTCACTCGATGTGCGCTTCTTTCTCTGTTGTATTATAATTTTTTTCTTGTTTGTTTGTTTATTTATTTATATTTGTTTTACTTTATTTGCTTTCTTTTTACGGTTTGTTTGTCGTTTAAATGGAAACATTTCATTACAATTTTCAATTTTCCACAATTAAATTTGATTTTCGGTTCGATTTGGAAAATTCATTTATTTTGTTTCCTTTTTTACCATATTATAAAGTTGCACACTTTGTTTACCGTAGTAACCACAACTTGAATGAAGTATAAAACGACGAAGATTGGAAGAGAGAGTGAGAGAATGTGATAATATACATATATAGAGATATATACGTTTTGGACCCCGAACAAAATGTGTTTAGTTTGCACCGATTGCAATTATAAATTCCAAATTGAGTGTTCATTTAACAGCACGCGATTCAACACAACAATTTGTATTCGAATACATCTTTAGTGTTTTTTTTCTTCAAACGTTTGTTTTAAAAAAGGTAAAAAGAGAAATTCGAAAAAACATAAAAACTCAAAAAAGTGAAATAAATTTTTGTAGCTCAATCAAAAAACAACAACTGATTTCGTTGAAGATACACAATTGACTGACCGTCGACACTCAATTGAGAAAACTGTTTTGACTCTATACACACATAAGACTTTTCTCACTCTGTGTACGTACACACACACACTCTTTTTCTCATTTGATATTGTTTTGTGGCAAACAGCATGTACTACTAGTATTCTCCCGTACGTTTTGTGTGTGCAAAAGACAACCAGTGAATGAGTGAAGATATGCTTGTTGTTATATGTTTCAGCTCAATGGATTTCGAAATACACACTCATTCACTCACCACACATTCGCTCTCTCTCTCTCATCGTCTATTCCATAGAACTCTCTTCTTCCACTGTGTTTTTTTTTTTTCGTGCATGTGGTGATTGTATCGCTTAAACGTCAAACAAACGTCATCCTGTTGCTGATGTACTTAACACATGAATACGAAACGCATATTTGAAAAGCACTTGGTATTGTGTATACATTTATTACAATTCGTACATTTTAAAACCAAAGGCCGTTGAGAGTCTTGGGAATTTATTGAATGTTCATTTATTATTCGCATGTTTAGAATAAAAGAATATCGTGGTGTTCATTCATTGGATGGTGTTTACTGGATCGAAGCTCTCCTATAGTGTCGCCATCTATATTCCAGAATTATATCTTTTTTTTGAAACGAATGCAAATTTTTTTTGTCATTTGCTAGTGGAAATTTTATTACGTTTTTCAAGACAATTTGCCTTTCTTTGGCTAAACCGAATTTTGTTCGGATGTATTGGATTCCTTGTTTCTTTTACTCAAATCGATAGCTGAAAAATAAATGGCAGTTTTTTTCTTAAATATTTCCATTTCACCCGAATTATTATTACTTACAATGAATCCTCTTTGAATGTTTGTTCAGATTTCCCCAATGGATCGTTCGATATCCACAGTGAGCACAACTATACGACTTTGGGTTGGTATGCATTCGTTCATGACGCTGTAACATTGATAAAATAAATAATGTCCAGACTTTGTCAAAATATCAAATTTGAATTTTTGTTTACTTTTAGATAAAACAATTGGCGAAATTTTTTCTCGCAATACTTGCAACTGTAATTGGCTTCCGTATTGTGCATACGCATGTGTCTTTTGATATAGGTTTTCTGACATTTTTTTTTGCATATTGTGCACTCCACCGGCCCCTTCACTTCAAAATGATTATTATAATGCTTTTTAAAATCGTACTTTTCGCTATATCTATCACCGAAATACAATTAAATCAAATTAATTATAACAGTTTCGATGTAGTGAATGAAACCCACCTTTTTCCGCATTCTTCACATTCGAATGACTTTTCATCATTGTGTATTCTCTGGATGTGTTGCTGTAAAGTCCCGAGTGCCGCAAATTTATTACCGCATTGATCGCAAATAAAGTCTAATTTCTCTGAAAATCGAATAAAATTCATTTGTTCAAAATATTTTTATGCAACGAAACATTGTACCCACTGGAATGTGTGTTAACCATGTGAAGTCTGATATTGCCTTTGGTACGAAATGTTTTTTCACAAATGTCACAAATGAATTTTGGATCCGAAACAGTTTCGATAGATTTCATCTTGAGATGCTTTTGCAAAACGTGAGCATGTAAAGAGTGTTTACTGTAAGTTTGGTCACATAATTCGCATTTGTACACAACAACATGCATTCGTTGATGTTGAATCTGTTTATGGTTATCCCAAAAATAATCAGAACAATAATAGCACCTGAAACCAAATTAAAAAAAATTATACTATGGATTTTAAGACTGCATTCTATTGAAAATTGTACCTGTATTTCAAATGTGGAAAATGTTGCACTGCCATATGATGACTTATTCTGTTTGAAAATAGAAAGTTTTAACTTAAATATCGGCAGACATAACCAAAAAGGTAAAAGCTATGTTTTATAAAATTACTTACCGATGTTCAAGTTTATGCGTGTAATCGCAATAAAAGCAAAAGCAATCCATTGTCTTTGTTTCCATTGGATGAATCGATCTATGGTGAGCCCAAAAATTCTGTGGACCTATAAGATATTTGAGATGAGTTACAACAGTGTTTTCATTGTAATTGTCGAATCACGGCATCAAATTGCATACGGCTAATACAACTAAAATCTTCTTCTCACTTTTCATGACTTTGTCGCATATTTTACAGATGTACTGGCAATCGTTCCATGTCATGGTCTTCATTTCTGGGAATTGTTCTTCAAGTTTGACAAGAGCACTAGGACGTATTGTGCCATCGGATAGTTGATCATCATCTGCTATTGCAGCCAAAAATGCAAAACAAGTTGGTTTTAATTTTTTGGCCATATTCTTCGGTGGCGTTTCATAATTCTCTATCGAACTTTCTGAATCTGATTCAGTCTCTGTGAACAGTTCGTCATCAAAGTGATGCTCCTCTTCTTTATCAAATTCAGCTGAAACACAACCGGGCACCGTTGAATCACCTTCAACGTGTAACAGAGGGTCCACACTCTTTTGTGCTTTTATTTCATTTGCCATTTCGATGAGTTGTTTTTCCGCCTCCCAAATACTTTCAGCGAAATTCCAACACTGCTGAAGTTTTTCCACGCACAAATCGCATGCTTTGTTTGGCATTTCTATCTCATTTTCCGATGGTTTCCATCCACAACATAATTTCAACTTTGATTCTATTTCGCTCAGTTCTGTTGCTAATGCCGTCGCTTCCGTCTGCTTAGCACACAATCGACAGAAGGAAAACATGTTGTTTTCAAGACACGTTCGTTGGGTCTTCGATGAAGATAATTTCACAATAAATGTTATTTACAAACAAAATTTGACATTTCATGCGGTTTCAGTTTGACGTTATTACATCGAGAGTGTTGCCACTGCAAACATGAGAAATGCGATATTTTGTCGAATATTTTGTGGCTCTTATTTTGAAAATACATTTGATAGACAAAGTAAAATTAATTACTATTGCCATTGATTTTAAGAATTCTTATTTAAGGCAAGGAGAATGGTTCATTTTTTAGACACAGACAGAAATCTTACCAGAAGGAAAACAAGTTTCAACACCTTTTGGGCAATAGAATTGATGAACAACAACAACTTTCTTTTTTATAAATATTTATTCAATTTCATTGTTTCAGTACAATATGTCAAGCGCATACTTGCAAGTATGTGTCGCCATTTATTAATTTTCTTTAAATTTCATTCATTTTTTTTCATTAGAAAATTGTATCAAAACCGTAAAAAATTTCGCTTAAAAATGCACATTTAGATATAAAATTTATCGCTATTCAGATTTTGGAAATAGTAGTATAAAATACAGAATAAAAACGATATCCACTTGATTAAAATGCCTCAGAAAAAAAAAGATCGGTCAAATTAATCTAAAATTTATCGGGGAAGAAATGCCAATTTTTTTGATTAATTGACTGTAATTTTCCCGTTGAAAAAATGTTGGTATTGGATAAACTGTTACAATTTTGAAATTATAATCTATCTCTAAAAGTTCGGCAAAAAAATGTGGTTAACCGAAAAAATGTGAACTTATGGCACCATCAAATCTGTTTCTATTTTTTTGAAGAAAAAAAACGGAAAATTTTCACAATCTCCCATATTTATTGAGTCTCAATTTTTATGAAAAATTAAGTACATGAGCCGAAACTTATGCTTATAAGAAATGCTCTATTTTATTTGAGAAAAAAGTATTGATTTAAAACGAGATGATTGATTGAAACTGAAATTGAATTATAGCTATTATAAATGATTGTTCACTATATTTTGATATACTAAATATTCATTTTGCTAATTGGAATGAAAGTAAAAAGAAAGCAAAAAAAACAAATAATATAAAATTAATGATAAAATAAAAATGTCTGAACATTTAAAAAAAATATTGGAACTCTAATATTGTTTCATCTTCTTCTCATTTTAATGTTAAACAGATACACATACAAATATATTTGTGTTCAAAGCTCATCAAAATAACCATCAATGATGGCTAAAATGTGATTCGAAAAAGAGCCATATGTTCGGGAAAAAATGCATAAAATACTTCTGTATGACACTTATTTTGATATTTAAAAAAAAAAACTGTTGGAGAAAAGAGTATATGTACATATAGAGCAAGATAAGGATGATTTGTCAAAATCATTTCGGGCGAGGAAAAAGTCCAATTTCTGATTGTGGAATAGTGTAAGACAATAGAAGAGATTTAAGTTTGTTTTAAACCCTTTATCGTGTCGTTTAACGCAATCTTAATGATGATCTTTTTTTATTTTGAAAATCTTAAATATAGTGTAAAAAATCTGCTCAAAAAGACGAATAAGTTTCAGTATTGTATAGTGTTTAGCTCATGTTTCAGTCCATAGTTTGGGTTTGCTATACTTGTTGTAACAGATAAATGAATTTGTTCGTCAATAATGATTTCAAGCTCGATACACAAGCCGAAATACATTCGAGCCCAATGTTGTTTGGTGTCGGTTCAGTGAGCCGAACGGGCAAAACTTTTGTTGTTAGTCTTAGCAATGCTTGTTATTATCAATTATCTGAAATATATTTTATTTGAAAATATTTTCCATATTAATATATTTATTTTGTGTTACGAATAAGGATTTGTTTTACTGGGCTCTTAAAATTATTACATTATATAATTTTTTGTTTTCAATATTATTAAAGATACCAATTGGTACATTTTGAAGGCACAACAGTTTTACAATTCTCAATTTATCATATAAAATCGGTTTAATTTCTATTGATGACACACATTTTACACCTCTCTGTGTGTGCTCCCAAACCGCAAACATGTGTCATGCTTTCTGTTAAAGCAAATTTGAATTTTTTTTTTGTTTTGCATGATTTTATCACGGAATCTATAAAAAACCGACCATTCATTTCGTTCAATTCTTCATATTAATTTTTTTTGTTAAATCATTCAATTCAGTATTTACAATTCGCGTGGGGGGTGTGTCAATATTTATTATTCAAATATTTTTATATTTAAAAAAAATGATGCTTAAAATCATAAGACTTCATCAATCACTTGTTTAAATGTTAAAACAAATTGTTTTATTGCTATTTGATGCTGCTTCGATCCGATTTTCGCTAATTTAATTCACTTTCTGTCGTCTTTCAATTTTCTAATGTAATGTAAGCAAAATATTTGTTTCTTTTTTTTACATATGATAACGATTCAAAATAGCTCATATTGCAATCATTCGTAAGGCCTGTACTAAATTAGATTTATTTTCTTCTGAAATTGATTTCGAATTTCGTTTGGCATGCTCTTGATGAAATGCGTTTTTTTACTTTTTACACACCTAGTGTGTAAGGTGAAAGTATTTTAGTGTAGAAACTGCAGTGAGGCGCATAATGAAAATTCATTGACCGTCTTTAAGCAAATAGAAAGGCATTCAAGTTGGAAGATTCCATTCAGATTATTGCAATTGGCGCATTCGTTCTTTGCATCGTGAGTATTTTTAATCAGAATTCAATCTACATCTAAATCATTTCAATCAATGGTCATATACCAAATACTTGATACCAATTTAGTTGTGAGTATAGTATGAAAAATAATCTATACGCGTATAAAAAAAGGATAAATCAATAGTAGCAAAGTCGTTGAACAGTCACATTTCACTGACTGTGTCTCGTATTTACAAATTCATTCCACAAAATTAAATGCTTGGTCAATGTTCACCTCTCAGCAATTCCAGCAACAAATTGAATTCCGAACCATCTTTTGATTTGATTGTTAACATCTCTTTACCGACCTATTTGACAAACGAATTTATTTCAATTAATAATTTTTCAATCCAAATTTATTGCGGCAGAATCTTACTTGACAAGTTCGTTGCAATTCCGGTATTCGCAATAGCAGCTCGCCAAACTTTGATGGTGCATCAGAATAGTGAGCTAGTGTATATGTTTGCAGTGCATGCAATGCTTTTTCTTGGCATCCACGCACTTGTTCCGGTTCTCTTAAATCGGAGGTGTCTGTTTGCATGGAGGAAAAATTCAAATTTGGGATTAAAATTGATAATTAATTATTGATTCATACCCAGAATGAGTCGAAACACCATTAAGATCCGAAAATTACCTGATTGAAGAAGAACGATAACTTTCATTGCCACATACTCATACTTATCAACACGAAGCCGCCGCAAATGGTCCGTCAAATTCAACATTCGTTCAATACAAGCCTATTCAAAACAAAACAAAAATGTTAAATTGAAACTGTTTAGTTACTGCAAAGGATTTTAAGTCAAAATATTCAAAAATTCACCTGAAGTCCACTGGATTTGGCTTGTTCCAAATTGATTGATTTGCCTTGAGAGATGCGAATTTCGCCGGGTGACGAAATTGATCGAAAGCAACACGAGAATAACAACAGTTCGCACCATGAATTGATTAACAAACAAATTTGATCGTCGATCTAATTAAATAAAAATGTCATTTAGTTTTCAGTATGTCAAATGAAATTGATCCATTCCTCACTCACCGATATATTCTTAAAAAGTGGCAAACTTTTGCACCATTTCACAATTTTATAGAGTCGATGATCAGCGACATTGCAAAGATTTGCAATTAAATCCGGGCTAGTGTCTTCGCTGTTAGCAAGTCCCGCCAATAATGGGTTTGTGGCCAATGTTGCCGATGATGTGCCTGCACTATCATTTCTACCATGCTCATTTCCGGACAATTGATTCTGATTCAATTTATTTATTTCGGCATCGCTAAACTTCCATAAATGCTCGACGTCCATTATTTCCTGTAATTATTAAAAGAAAGATTTATTACATTTGAGAGAAACCGTCGGGTTGTCACCGAAAAATCAATGCATACTTGTAATAATGTTGGAATAGTTTGTTGGTTCTGTGTGTTAAGACCGGTTGCATTATCTTGTTGGTTTGGTGCTTTTGATCGATTGTTTGATATCAACAGGGTGCCATCAACAAGCGATGGACTAAGCATGGGTAAAGTGTACGAGCATTGATATGTAGAACGACCGCCACGTGTCCGATCCTCACGAATCGCTTCCAATTTCATGCCACGTTGAAGGCATTTTTCAAACCGGCATGCCGGACATTTCTTTCGCGTTGCAATCGATATGGGACACGGACCGCCACGTAAACAAACATAGTTCTTTCGATTTTGAACGGTTCGCTTGAAAAATCCTTTACATGATTCGCATGAAAAAATCCCGTAATGAAATCCACTTATTTTATCACCACAAATTGGACAGGGACTTTAAACGAAAACATATTGTTATATTAAAAAAAAAAAAAAAAAAAAACAAATTAAAAAAGGCTTAATTGTGTGTACCTGTTAATGAGTTGTTGTCTGGAGATGCCAGCCGATGGTATGATTTCGGGTTCAAGAATATTTTCTTCGTTTGACTGTTGATGTTGTAATGTTTTTGCATTTTCATTACCATCGATCAATGGCTTATACAATACTGAATGATGCAATGGAGATCCATTGAAATTGGCGCTGGCATACATATTGTGTCGTCCTTGTATTGGCGAATGTGTCGGACTAAATTCCGAACTATACGAATAACAACTGCTGTATGATGCATCGCTGTTGTTTCGGCTTAATGATGGCGTATATGGTGTGTGCCGTGATGTTAATGGTGATTGGCTCGGTGAACTGTGTGTGTACACCGAATGAATTGCTGAATCGGGGCTCGGATTTGTTGGCAATATATTATTTGCTTTTGTTCGATTTATCATCGATGCTGTTGAATTTACGTCATTCGGTGTTGTTGTGGTGGTTGTTGTCGTGGCCGCAAATTGATTTGTAATATGTTGTGATTGTAAATTTGTTTCAAATTTCATATTTGACATATCAAATGGAAAACGTTTGTTTGAGTCCATTGCATGAATTGCTTGATTTGCATTCACACCAAAACTATTGTATTCGGGTTTTATTTTGATGGTTGCATCCAAATCAGTCATTTTCTCTGTATTGTCATTTAGCTCAGATGATGCGGTAACGGCACGCGGTTTTATAATCGATTTTTCTGAATTTCCATTTGTTGCATTATTCATAATCATTTCATTGTTGTTTGTCGTTGATTTTGTCGCATTTGCATCCGTTTCCATTTGATCGTCATTCTCTGACAATTCGCCTTCCCACGACATTGGCCGTGGCGTACTCTTGTTATTGTTGCTCGTTCGCATACTAACTGCTGCAGCTGTTACCGCTGTCGTTGCCGACGTCGCTGTCGTCGATGTGGTTGTCGTCGATGCGGCTGCATTCTCAATTTGTGATAATTCAGTCTCAGATTCATCAGATTCTTCCATTTTTGGCACGGCAATACGAATGCTACCGTTCCCATAGAAATGCGGATTGTTATTCAATTGTTGTTGTTGTTGATGATGTGTCGATGTCACTGATGACGGTGCATCGCCCACTAAATTATTACAAAAACTATTTGTTTTGTTGTTTACATCGCTACTATTTGATACACAACTAGCATTTGTTGTTAAATCATTGGCACCATTGCTTAAATCAATACTGTTCACATTAATAGTCGGACAATTTATATTCGTAACCGATATATTCGGTCGAATGCTTAGATCACTTGCTACGTTTGAACAACCACCGCCACCGCCAGACGTAGACATCGTTTTGAGTTTACAATTTTTTTTGCACGTGGTAAATGAAATTCAAACGGTTCTCTTTCATCGATAACAAAATCGGAATGAGCCATATGCAAAATTACAAGTCACATGCATCACACAGGTAAACTCCTAAGGCAATCTCTGTAGTTCTGTAAAAAAAACGAAGAAAAAGAACATTATTTATCTTACATAACGGGCTCGACTATAAAATAATACACATAAAAATATATTTTTATTCACTTCTTGTTCATGAACATATTATTGCAATAAAGTTTAAATTGCGGTAATCAGGAGTATGAGGTGGTGAAATTAAAAACGAAATTCATAGCAATAATATAAAGCATTGTAAATTTCAGTGAGCTACTGTATACTTTGTAAATTAATGAGCCAATTTACCACAATATTCGAAATTCACTTGAAATTCACAAAAAATCGTTTAAACCACAACAAGAAAATTCCAAACTCGATTTCGATAGATTAATTAAAAACACCTTCACCACACGAAAATACCGAAACTATGATGAGAATTTTTTTTATTGCTGGAATGCTTATCGCAGTAAGCCATGTTAACTGTAATCGATTGAAATGTCTAAACAGTAGAAAAAAACTGTACGGAGGCGAATTCGAGGAGAAATAGAAATTGTTATCGCGAAGAACAAATTGTTTGTACATTAGCGTATCGCTACAGTTGGTCTCACTATCATTTCTGTTGTGTTAATTTAATTCCCATTTTCTTTTGACTTTTTCACCCATACACTCTTCGTGAATCGAAATTGTTGTTTTTTTTCTAATGGTCAGCGCATCACTTCGATCCATATGAAAGTCATAAATTTAAGTGGATTAAATTCATAAAAAACAAGGTCGAATTTCACGTATCTGTATATGAATCATATTTTCTACCACGAACTTCGCACATCAGTGTATTTTTTTTGTATGTACGTGCAAAAAATATATATATTTTGAAATGAATCACTGTGAATGTCTTGATCGTCGTATATCCGCAGAATTTGCGTCAACCAAAATGTTAAGCCCGGCGTTTGATTGAAATCTCGCTCCGTCAAAATATGAATAAAAAAAAAAATAATAATAGTTCACAAAGTCTCAATTTGACATTAGTACAAGAGCGGCAATTACGTTGACCATGTTAAGCGATAAATAGTCAAAAAAATATATCACTGCCTTTTAAATATATATAATCGCAAATGATGATGTCGTCAAAGTGTCTACTGATTTGAGCGCTTTTCTCATTAAAATATGACCTTTTTGGCGATTGTATCTTTACAACTATTATTAATTTAGTGGATCGAAAATTGGTTGGTTAATGAGAGCATACAATATCACTCAAAACGGTTACTATACACACCGAATAGTGCGAACCATAACAATGGTATTGGTTACAGCAACAGCAGCAGCACCAATAGCAACAGTGAACGCATTTATTCAAACCATGTTTGTTCCGAACGCTCTGTGTTGCTTTTTATATGTGTGCGTTTGTATACATAGTTATTTAAATAAAAGAAAAAAAACACGAGCACCAATAAACCGGTATTTTGCTCTATCAGCTCTATGTGTGTGTGTAAGAGAGTGTATTTGCACGAGAGCAGCGAAGAACAGGCACCGCTTGTACGGCGACTGAATGCTATGGTGTACAAAACGGCAACAACACATTTCTGTGGCGATGGGAAAGAGCGAGAAAGCGACAAACAAAGAAAGAAGAGAGTCAAGTCATGTGATCGTCCAATGAACGACCTTCAGTTATATAGCTAAATTTGTACGCGACGACCTTGCGTGTGCGTCATCAACACGCTACGTACATCTCTCTTTCTTTTGCTTCCAATAATATTATCAACAGCATTCTTTTTTTAGGAACAAACAAAATGCATTCGAATTTTTTTTCTTCTAACTCTTAATTTTTCCAGAAATTCGTCGATTTAATGAAAACAAAGCGTTATGTCTTCACAATGGCGATAGAATTTATGATTTATTTTTGGATTAACAACTTGGCTGTTTACGTCAAAGCAAACGTTTTATTTTTGGGGGCTGCAGTTATAAACAACACCAAATTAATGTGTGAAAAGAAATTGAAATGTACATGTAAACACACCCGAGCGGCTACCAAGATATGAGTTTATTTCGGAAGTATTTTTCACATACAGGTGCGATAGGTACAATAAAAAAAGAAAGAAAGAAAGAACTACCATAAAACACTTTTACGATGATCTACAAAAATAGCTACATGACCACATTCACTGATAAATTCGAAGCGAACGATGACAAAAAAAAAACAATGTGTACGAGATAAAACCCGAGACTGGAGGGGGAAAAATGTAAATTGATAAATGCATGAACTGAAAGGAATGTAAATAATTCTTATTATTTAGTATTTATGTTGATTGATTTTGCACTATTCATACACGTGCGGTAATTAGAATGCGGTTCGGTGGATAAAAAATGCATTACAAATGCTCGGGACATTGTCCGACAGTGCATTCTTAAATGTGGTCAAGATACAACAAACTACAATGTGGTTCCAGATTAAAATGACCAACAAAATTTTAAAAACGTTCTTCTGTTCGGTTCAAAAATGTAAAACTCATATCGCATTTTAAAAATATCTTTAAACTTCGAACAAATAATTTACATCCGTTGGACAAATGAAAGCGCACATTGCTTTTATGAAAAACACAACAGCAACAAATTACCCATATGAATTGCGTTGAAATAATGCAGCGCATTTATCGAAACGTAATAAAATATTTGATAGAATCGAAAGAAACTATCAACAATAATGACAGCCAAAGGAAACTCATTATCCATCGATCGATAGAAATAAAAACAGTGCGGACGCCACACTGGATATGATCCAATGAATTATCATCATTGCTTTCAAAATCAATACATATGACCGCATATGACGATTATGTTGTGTTGAATAAAAAAAACGCAATTCGATTTTAAATCGAATGGAATTATGCGGAATTCAGGAAAGAATATTAAAATTCAAAGGATCGAGTACTATCTGTCAAAATATTTCCCCCTATGCCAAGCGAAATTAATTCGATATACGGCGCTGATGTAAATGTCACTCTGTCATTTCACAATAATACTTTTTTGGCTTAACAATATATAAGCTCTTCATTTAAAATGCATACACATTCATAATTATTGAATCGTTGAAAAAAAAACATGTCATAAAATATTTTTCTAACATTTTTCATTAAAAACTTTATTAATTTTTTTTTTTATAAAAAAATTAATTTGTTTATAAATTACAATAATTTCAACAAAACATGTTTCATCGATTAAATAAGAATCTAATGTAAATAGTAATGACAATGCGACACCTACCGTAAAAATGCAAAAAGAAACTTAGTTGGTATCCATTGTAGCATTTTTGTCCACCATGACAGCATCTTCGTTTTACTTGACCAATCACAGAGAAGCAAAACGAAGATGCTGTTATGGCGGACCAAAATGTTACAATTCCAAATAAGTTTCCTTTTCTATTTTAACGGTAGGTGTCGCATAGGTATTACTTTTTACATTAGATTCTTGTTCAATCTATGAAAAAAAAAATTGAAATTATTGTTATTTTTAAACAAATAAATTTAAAATATAGAGAATTTTTATGATAAACGTAAGAAGAATATTTTATGATATGTTTTTTTTTTTTTACTCGACCGTTCAAAAATTATGCATGTTGAATGAAGAGCTTATATATTGTCAAGCCAAAAAATGTATCATTGTGGAATGACATAGAGTGACATTTAAATCAGCGCCGTATATCGGATTTATTTCGCTTAGCAAAGGGGGAAACGTCGTACTCGCTCCTTTGTTAGTATTTGTTTTAGAATGCACAGGGGCGTTGTTTCGAAAACGCTACCGTCAAATTTTTTTTTCCAATGTATGCCTGAGGTTTGTGCATTGTGCAAGTGTCCGAAATTCCATGAAAAAAGTAAATAAATAAATAAAAAACAGTCTCCGAACCATAAACTTGATTTAATGTTGGTCATAAAGAAGAAATATTTCATAATAAATTGCGATAGTTTTAATATCTTTATCAATCTTTCAATTTTTCTCGCAATGCAGAATGACTCCGTTAAAAAGTATAGAATTCGTCACCGCAAATCCGTAATAATAATGATTTGACAACAATAAAAAAAAATAAGCTAATGCTTATTTTGACTAATATTGTCGCCGGCGCTTCATGGTTTTACATCATATTCTTTATTATATTGACAACTTCAGTTGTATATAAAATGAATAAAAAAAATTGCCACAGACAAATATCAGCTTTCAAGTGTTAGTTTTGCAAACAAAAAAAAACTGTGAATAATGCAACTTGAATAAAACGCCTTTCCCTCATCGAACGATAGAATTTCATATACCTGAAACTTGTTATAAGTACTCGGTGCAAACGTTTAATTTCGCTATGAAAGCAAACAACAACAACAAAGAGTACGCTGGATTCGTAGGTGTGTTTATATCGACTATAAATGCGACTTGAATTTGTTCAACAGAGAAAAAGACCATTAGCAAAGTGCCGTTAAAGTTAAGAATACTTAATGTTTTATACACAGACAAAGTGAAACCACAATTATTTCATTCGACCCCCATCAAGAGTTCATTATTTATTATTGAGAATTGTAAAATTATGTGGCAGCATTAGCTTTATTCCAGCTAATGAAATTTATTAACCGAAAAAAGAGACAAAGAGAGTGCGAGAGAGAGAGAGAGCTAACGAGAACGTATTATGCCAATTTATTGAAATAAATTTCCACATGAAAGGTTTACAAATATCCAAGTGATTTTACACATGAAGTGCCTTTGTTAGGTCGCGCGGCTTCACTTGAATGCGACTGTTTTCTTTTGCGTTTGTATATTCTTTTGTTTCATTCTGTACACACACCATTTTTTTTCTTTCTTCATTTGTATACATAAGATTGTGAATTTCCTTTTATTCCGTCGCTGTTCACTTTTGAGGGTTTTTGAATTGGACAAAAACCAAACGATTCGATGCTCTGCCGATTAAAATGAACCGTTTTACAAGAAATTGTCTATGTATGATATTCGCATTAAGATCAATTTTAATAAATTAAAAATGGAAATTGCTAGACAAACGGTAACATTGAATAATATAAATGAAGTTGTAAATAACATACGAATCCAGTATTATATATGTATACAATGCATAAGTGTGCGGAGAGAACAGAACAATTACACGTTGAAAAATGATTGCGATTGAAGTTCAATGACCGCAGCTGTTCGCTGTTGCTTTGAACTTATTTGAGTTTGTTCGTTCACATCTCGATGTATATAATGTTGGGTGAGTGCTCGTGTGTGTGTGTGTGTGTGTGTGTGTTTCGGGCGTCGATGTGTGTGTGCACTAGCGTCTATACGTGAATGTATACATGCGATTGAGTTTGTAAACTACGCCGTTTAATAGCTATGCTTTGAATTTGTTCCAGTTGTGATGTGTGTGTTCGTTATTTAATTATATATGTGGGGATATGCGAATGCCGTTCAACACGTAGTTCCTCGTTTTGTGATTATTTCGATACATCGTACGTACACACATCTCAATCGCGTACTGAGGCGCTCACTTCGACTATGCACTGTTGTACATCAAACAAGAGTTTTATGTTGCTGATTCAATAAAAACTAAAGAAGAAGAAGAAGAAGAAGAAGCAGAAAAATAAACGCAAACGGTTTGTTGTGATACATAGATTGCATTAGAGAGACGGTATTAACATCAACAAGTACAATACAAATGAATTGATAGACAATTCTATATTTCAAATTGCAATAAATTAAGTTGAGAGACAGAAAAATGCCATTGCGACCATTTTGCCTTCGAATTCAATTTTTCGATCAAAGTACTGAAATTACATGAGCGGCGGTCATAAAACAAAATTGCATATATACACTATTTAATGTGCTATTATGCGCAATCGGTTTGAAAGTTACATGATTTCCAGAAAATGCACACCGAAATCAAACGGGCAACACTTCGGCCAATCACTACTCGTGCAATGCATTTTCTGTTGTTGTCTTCTGTTTCACCGCAAAGGTTGAGAGCACTATATTTTCGCAGTTGCAGTTTCTTTGTACCAAAAATGGTAATATGTTACCGCTTTCACATTTGGCACACGTGTATTACGAATGCGGTGTGTGTGTGTGTGTGTGTGTGTGTGTGTGAACTATGTGGCACATTGAATGTACGCGAAATTAAACGAAAATTAAGTTGAAACAAGACATAATGCACACGGAGAGTAGCTGTTTATTGTAACAACATTCGTACGGATTTACATTCGCCGATCATTTTTCCACCAGCTCCAGTGTGCATCTCCATCGAATGGCAGACACGAGACAGAATGAAGACAAATTGAAATGTGTACTTAAAAGAGTTCGATCGCTGCCGATAAATCACTTTTCAATCTCATTTATTATTTAAACACAGGCCAACATCAGAGCAATGTAGAGACGATTCATGAAAATTGAAAAAATAAAAAATGACCGAAGAAAAACATGGAAAATTCGCTTGTAGTTTGCTCGCTGACTCTTAACTCACACGTTGCCGCTGTGTTGTTGTAGTTATTATTATTATTATTGTTGTTGCTGGTTGCTGTTGCTGCTGTTGCTATTCGCACAAAGTTTATTGACACGGCACAGAATGTGCTCGTTGTACGGCTCTCGTTTTGTGTGTATAGTTCGATCCGCGCTTTCTGATTTTCTGATTTGCCAACTACACATACATACATCAATGCTATGTCTCTGTCTCTCTCTCTCTCTCTCTCGCTCTCTTGTACACGCTTATTTCTTCTCTTTGTTTTTTCGTTCAATATTTAAATTGAAATCGGTGCAAGCCACAAATCTCCGTGGAAAAACGTGAACGCAAATAAAAAGACGGCAACAAAACGGCACACACAAACTGTGCTCTGAAAATGGAGAAGAAGTAATCCAACATTTCTTATGCTACGTCGTTCGGTCGGTTACATATTCGTACTTGCATTTTAAGAATGTTCCATACACCGTTTACTTCAATGTTTCGCAATTAAATAGGCGCTAAACGTTTGGCCAAACGATTATTATTTTGTATCGAGTTTCGTTGTATATACATTTTCCCTCTTCTATTTATTTGCTTTTTTAACATAGTTTGCAACATTTTCTATTCCACGAATCGGTTTTTCGTCTCAAAAAAAATCTATATATTAATAAAAATGGAATGGCAAGAAAAAAACACACGTCACACAGATATTCAAATTCAATAAACGAAATAAAAAAGAAACACACACGGCCGAAGTGATTCATTAATAATTTTATGTATGTGTCGTATGATGATCGGTCGCCTTGTTTTTCTTTATTTTATTTTTCTCTGGTTTTCGCAAGAACTCGTTTTCTTGTGCGCCATAATGAAATATCATAAAATGAGCCGAATGTAACATATATAACTGAATGAGCAAAAAAAAAACGATCAAGAAAACCACACGCACACACCGACACTTGGGCGTATTTATTTATTGGAACATCAGAAGAAAAAGAAACGAAACAAAATAATATAATCAACCAAACATATAAGCATAACTACAGCGCGCAAAATAGATAGAAGGATAAACAGGTATATTCGTTATAATCCAGTTTATTATTGGGACTTGCACAGAGAGGCTAGAGAACGCGTCCATACACACATTCATCATACTAAAATTTACGACATCTCTCTCTCTCTCCATCTTCACACAAACACTCACACGAACACACCAGTTATGCAAATTAACGCATAAATTGAGCCGAGATCACAAATTAAAACCACTCTTCAACGTTATAATTTTTAGCCAATTTTTTTTTCTCGCTGTTCGGTACAAATTTTAAAACAAAAAAAATGGACCAATCATCACATTTATCGATAAGTGAGTTCCATCGAATCGCATGTATATGCTTTTGAACAAATCACCGTTTTTTTTCGGTCACAGTTTGGCATTGTGAACTCTCACTCAAAATCCAATAATTTCTGCAGTTTTTTTTTTCATTGCGAAACTCATGCAATTCACTTCATAAGTTGTCTTGTGGTGGTGGTGTTATTTGTTGCTGTCTTGATCATATCGTAGCGATTTGATTTGGTGAGCAGTGACTACATATTAAATACACGACTCTAAATTGCATTATAAAAAAAACTCTTTGAAACGAAGAAAAAAACGAATGGTCGAACTAGTTTTTCATGTTTTATTCGCTGTTGCACAAATCCATGGTAGCATATTTCATTGTTGGCAGATCGAAGAAAAAATGTTTACTCACTTTTTTTTCGAAAAAAAGAAGGAAATCTAATATTCCACCAGAGAATGGAATGATTTAATTTTCAACAAACAGCTCCAGTTTACAATTCAGCAATTATTCTTACGTTTAAGATATTTTAGATCACAAATTTATATATATATATATGCAAAAAACACTTGCTGATCACTTTCAACCATTCACACTGTAAACAACACCGTTCAAATGCAATAAACATCCAACCCGATTTGTTGAGTCTATGAATAATCTCCTTTTTTTCTCTTTCTCGCTATTTTCTTTTGAACATTTTCAATATCCAAGTGCTGAATCCGGTGATTATGATGCTGCTGATGATTGAACATATAACAAAATTGAATATTCACTTTCGTACGGTTTCGGTAAAACACATCACACTTTGCATTGTTTTTATACTATATGATATTAGAAACCGAGTCTATTCGCTTCCAAACAAATAAACAAACTAAATACACCGTTTAAATGTCACTGAATTGCCGAACAAGATAAAACACAAAGACGAAGACAAAAAATATATGGTGTTTATACAGTTAAATAGGTACACAAAAAAAAATTGCAAATTCGATTCCGAACGAAAAAGAGCAGAAAAAATAAAATCGGTTTTTTTTCTTTTCTTGTTGTTGTTACGTTAGTTTCTTTTTTTTTATTCGCAAGCACGACGAATAGACGTCCGTGTTTGCAGACTATGAAATCACAATGGATGAACGATATTTGTTTTTCCTTCAATATTATCTCACCATGCTTAAACAAGTTTATTATTTCTCTCTTCTGATTCTCTTTCACGGTCGTGCCATCTCGGTCTCACCCATGACTGGCGACCAGTGTACATATTGTTACTTGACACATTCGCTCCATTCTCTCTCTCTCTCTTCATGTATGCGGCGTTGTGAGAGTGTGTGAGTGCGTATGTGTTTGGCGCGCGTATGTATTCATTGGTTCGGTATACAAGTTTTGTTTAAACCATTCGTTGATCCATTGAAACAATCGAACGGTTTCTATGCAACTTGCTTGATTTGTTTGTATGAACTATACACCGATGTATTTGACATTTCGACCGTCGATTGCAACAATGTTTTCTTTTTGCATTTCAGTGGTTGGCAGTTTTGTGCATCAATTTCATTTCAACATTATTATTTCTAATTTAAACATTTTTTTTCTAATTTTAAAATAAAAAATAGCACTTTTGATCAAACATTTTTTCCCGATGATTTAAAAAGACAGAAATGTAAACAAAAGTGGCGTCTATTCATAATTTGATTGATACAATGTTAATCAACGAAGTATCATTTAAACGGCTTAATTTTTATGTAACGTCCTCTGGTGGTGATTTTCCAGCACATGTGACTCTGTTACTTCAAATGTCAATGACATTTCTTTGCAATAACATTTGCACACCACTATTTTTCTTCAACAGATAAATAAATAAATATCAGTGAATCGGAAATTTTTCAATCGAAGAAGAGAAAATATAAAAAAAAAATTCCATGTTTGTCAATCAACATCCATCGAAAGTCTTCGGAGGCCTTCAAGTGTAGAAACGAAAAAAAAAAACATTATGTGTATTTATTGTCACTGTATGCTCTTCAGTCAATTCAATTTCGTGTGCGATGATAATTTGCAATCAATGTGAATTGAATTGTGTATATATATAATTTTTTTTATTCAATTAACAATTCAAAACCGAGCGAAATAGCTGAATTGTGTGTTTTATAATAGTATTGAAAGGGTATCGAAAGTGAAATCGTCAACTGTGAATTAGCGTCTATTGTATGCGTTTCGTATGATTGATTAAATTGAAAGAGTATATAAAAAAGCGCATTTGTAATCGTTATCTTGACTCGACAACATTCATTTTACATCTAAATGACATTCGCTTCAGATATAGGCTCGAATAACAACGCTCTCAACTAACTCGGTGAATTTGTAACTTATTTTAAAAAAAAATGACATCGCCGATGCGACCGAAAAATAAAAATATACTGCTGAAGGTGGTCATATTAGGTATGTAACTGCGCATATATAGATTGAAAAATTCATCGCACAAATAATTAATGGAATTGATCGTTGCAATGTTTCAGGTGATGGTGGAGTCGGAAAAAGCTGTCTTATGAATCGATTTATGTCGAATCAGTTTGATGAAAACAGTTTTCATACAATTGGCGTTGAGTTTCTAAACAAGGATATCGAAATCGACAACGATAAATACACACTTCAGTAAGATAAACTATCTAATTGACACTTTTGTGATTGGATTATCATTGTTTGTGGAAAATAATACGATTTTTTTAAAAAAAAATCCAATTATATGCTTCTGCATACTTTTTTTTTGTTTTGAGCTTATTTATTAATAAACACTTTTGATTTTAATTGATTTTAGGTGCTGGGATACTGCAGGTAATGTGTTAATTCATAAATTAATCGATGAACCACTCAAGAAGTAGTTAAATGCACGGAAATGATTAAAATGTTCGTTATTACACAGGCCAGGAAAGGTTCAAAGCACTTCGCACTCCTTTTTATCGGGGATCCGACATTTGCCTGCTTACTTACGCGGTTAATGACCGAGACAGCTTTAAAGGATTAAAACATTGGCGAGAGGAATTTATAAAGTATGCTGATGTTGATGGTGATAGTTTCCCGTTCATTGTAGTGGGTAACAAAGTAAGTGGATTTTCATAGAATATTCAATCAGTGATTCCGAGTGAACTAGTGTATGACGCATTTTGGAGTAATGAAGCATTCACCGTAAAACTTCATCAATGATTTATTTATTCGCATCAGATAAGGTGAAATTCATACAACGAACGTTGGATCAACTCCATTTCTTGATCTTCTCTACTAAATCAACATTTTAAATGATTTATTTTGGTCACAAATATGCTAATTCTCAATTATTTATCACTTAGTTTTGGCAAACAATCAATGAAATGTCACTTTTATTTTTGTTGAGTACCGGTTCCCGACAACCAAAACACGACACACATGCCGACGAACAAAACATAACAAATAATTTCATCATTTCTCAGTATTATTTCGCGTGTATACACGCATGATTCATATGAAAACAATACAAACAAAAGCGATGCAATAACATTGAAAACAACATAGTAGTCTTAGAAGAGATAGATAATATTGTTGTTCTGAGCAAAAAAAAATTCGATTTCTTTGTTTATAATTTTTTTGAAGCTGTTTTTGACTTTGACATTTAAAGGGTCGATTGGTGTCTTGAATCGAATGCTAATGCAATTTTTTTTCGTCTTAATGCAGAATGATGTTTCGGCGAGTGAACGTGAAATAGGTCCCGACGAGGTGCTTGCTTGGTGCCAAGAATTTCATGTAGTCAGTTTCATTGAAACATCAGCAAAAACATCGGAGAATGTGTCAGCCGCATTCATAATGGCCGTTCGCGAATGGAAAAAATGCGAACGAAACACCGACCTAACAGACGGCGGCGATGCAATTGATTTGACCCGAACGGTTCAATTGGATTCAAGGAGTAAATCATCATGTTGTTCGGGCAATAGAAATTCACAATTGCGACAAACACATGAAGTACTACAGTAGACGGAAAGAGCGGCAACAAAATATTCGATATTTTATTTTTGGAGATTGAAACAATCGAGTCAAAGTCCGTGCACTCATGCCGAATGTCAATGTCAGCACGTTTTTTAGTAAATATTTTATTAGTGTCACACACACCACACATACACACTCACACACAAAAAACAAACAACAGAAAAACACCAACAGCAATAAAAGAACAACGTAATATGGCAAACGAAAGCAATGCAAGAAACATGTATACTGTGATTTCTTTGAAGAGACAGAAAAGAAAAAAAAATTGTTACCGTTTTGTTTATTGAATGTTATTATATTTTATTTGACGCGATCTAATGGCCTAGTTCATAGTCGAGCCTATCTATATTTTTTTTTCTCGAGAATATGACAGAAATTGAAAAAGATTTTAGTACTTTAAATTCAATTCTTTATTAATTACACATGGATTATCATTGGATTTTATTTTATTTTTCGTATTTCACTGTTGTACATCAAATATCGAATTGTTTCTTTTTTTTAACATTCGATGTATCATATTGTATAAATAAATGTTCAGTCTTAATTAATGAAATTGGATAAGCTAACCGATTCCGCCATATTATCCTGATTGATTGTGATTGTGATTGTAATTTTGTGGCGCATCATTTTCGGATCGAATTCGGTCACAATTTGATACTTGTAGATAGAGACATTCCATATTAAATTTAATACCAAAGGAACAAAACCCTTGATTGCGATTGAAATGTGATTGAAATTTCTGGGTTTTTATCATGCTTGCCTAAATATAAGACGAAACTTTTTAAAGGTTTTCAAAGTATATTGTTGATTAGCTAAATTTATTATTTGTTCTTGGATTCTTTGCGAAAACGCGGGAATTTTTTTAATTCATGTTAATTGTATTTATTTGTTATTTTAAATCATACAAAATTATTTACCATAAAGACACTCTAAATGTAATCTCACTAAAACTAGTTTTGTTTTTTTTTTTCGTTCTCAATCTACTCAAGTAAGACACAAAAAAACTTACAGCTAAAAATAGAAAAATTGAAAGAAAATTGTAAGAAAAATGAAGGTATGTAATGTTGAATGCTTAGCATGCGACATATTGAGGTGCTGGCTGGCTTTGAGCTTGTTGATACTGAGGTTGTTGGGGTTGAGCTTGTTGGTACTGATTATAATTGTTGTAAGTATATTGAAGAAGTGATTCGATCTCTGGATCGTTGCTATACTGTGGACATGGTTGAGCCGGTGGTGCTGCGGGAGCCGATTCTGGAGCTGACACATAGTAATAGCTCGGTGCACTTTGTGGAGCGCTTGGATAGCTATAGCTATAGCTTGGTACACTTTGGGGAGCGCTTGGTGCACTTTGTTGTTGTTGACCGGGTGGGCATGGAACGGCTGGAGCCGATGCGGGGGCTGACACATAGTAATAGCTTGGCGCACTTTGTTGTGGAGCATAGTTATAGCTGGGAGCACTTTGTTGATAGTAGGTCGGTTGAACGGCATTTGGATTGTATGCTGGCTGTGCATTGTTTGGGTAATAAACTGAATTTTGATTTGGATCTGGTTGTGCATATAAGTAGGTATATGTTCCTGAAAAGATAGTTATATATGAAATGTGTTAAAGAGTAAAGTAACCAAAAATAATACCAGGATCACAATTGGGATTTTGTGGTGCAGAATTTTGTGGATTTTGTTGTGCCGGATCTTGTTGTGCCGGGTTTTGTGAACCAACCGGTGCTGTTTGATTTCCACAATCATCTTGCTGTGCGCCACCAACATTTGGATTTTGAGTGGTCGTTGTTGTTTGAGAATCTCCACAATTCCATTGGTCATTGGCATTGCCAACAGTAGCTGGAGCTGTCGTTGTTGTTTGAGAATCTCCACAATTCGATTGGTCATTGGCATTGCCAACAGTAGGAGCTGAAGTTGTCGTTGTTGTTGTTGTACTCCAACAACTTGGTGTTTGAGTATCGCCCACAAGTTCGTCATCTTCGTCCTTCAAATCTGTAACGATCATAAAATTTTAGTGTTTGTTCAAAATAGTTAATAGTTTGAAATTTTGAAATAGCTTATCTCCTTTTTATGTTATCTATAGTCGTATGATTTATATAAATTATGATTAGATTCAATTAAAAAATTAGATCTGAAACAGATTCATACCTGTAACGGTTGATGATTGTACAGTCGTTGTCGTTGGTTGCTCTGTCGTAGTTGTTTGTTCCTCAGTTGTGCTAGTAGAAGAAGTTGTTGTTGGTTCCTCGGTCGTACTCGTCGAAGAATTGGTTGTTGGTTCCTCAGTCGTGCTAGTTGAAGAAGTTGTTGTTTGTTCCTCATTTGTACTCGTCGAAGAAGTTGTTGTCGGTTGCTCAGTCGTGCTTGTCGATGTACTTGCTTCCTCGGTGGTAGACTGAGTCGTTGTGCTTGTTGTCGTTGGTTCTTCTGTGGTGCTCGTCGATGAACTCGAAGAAGAAGGTTGTTGTGTTGTTGTTGTTGTCGTTGAATCTGTAAAATCAGAGTCATCATCATCTTTTTCAGTTGTAACGACATCATTCCATGATGAGTCGTTAGTTTGAGAGAGATATGCATCGTCATCATCACCTGTACTACTTGCTGCCGATGTTGTTGTGCTATCTGATGTTGTTGATGCTGGTGTTGTTGTTGTGTCACTATTACCTGATGTAGTCGTTGTGTCATCATCTTTTTTTGTAGTACTGGCATTGGTTGAAGAGTCCGTTGTGATGTCACTATTACCTGAAGATTTTGTTGTAGTTTCACCTGATGTTGTGGTGTCCGAACTTTTAGTTGTAGTTTCATCAGATTTAGTTGTGCTAGAATCGGATGATGCGGGGTCTGAACTTTTTGTTGTTTCTGTCGATTCCGAAGTGGATTCACTCGTTGAACTGGCATCCCCTGTCGTTGTTGTTGTTTCGGTATCATCAGCGTCACGCCGGTGTCGATTAAATGCAAATGTTTCCTTGAAAAAAAAAAAACAATAATCGATATTAGTTAGTATTAAAAATTTGATTCGATAAAAAAACCTGCTGTGAAAAAAGTCCGATTTATTCAAAACTTACCGCTGTCAAGTGAAGAGCGACTAGCGAAAGTGCAATGACAAATAACTGGAACTTCTTCATGATGCTTGTGAAACTGGAATAATGATTGTTCCGTTGCACCATTAGTTTATATAGTAAAATTTCGTTCGCGCCAAATATTGTTATTGAACAATGCAACATTGCATTTGAAGTGAGTAATTTTTTTCTGTTTATCGTTCATTATTTACAAAACATCAAACGGTAAAAACGTGAACAAATCATATTTCATATTAAAATTATTTATGTTTTTTTTGTGTCGCACGAGGCAATGTATTATCATGTCATGTACACTTGATTAAGTTGAAAGAAGAGATCAGATTAAAATTGCCCAGTCGCTTCACATCAACTCAATTGACTTATTACATAGTATTGCAAAACGTGCGCTCGCTTTAGTGTAAACAAAGTGAAATGTGCGATTTGATATTGTTTTTTATTTACACTTCATAAATCCAAAGTTCATTGTCGTTTTTGTGACAGTCTTGTTCACATTACATAATAATAACTAATGAAATGGTTACCTAGCGACTAAGTAGTATGTATGCCGATTACTTAGATCGAATTTGACTGGCATGCATATTGGAAGTAGAAGAAGAGAGGTCGCCGAACAATACAATTCAAGCAATAAGTCATGATAATGGCATTTTCCTTGGTTCAGATAATATAACTTATTCCATGATAATATATACGAAACTTTCGAATTCGAAATACCACAGAACAATGACGAAAACTTTTGGCATTCAAAACACATCTCAAATGAATGAAAGCTCCTTGAAAATTCGATTTTAACTAAACTACCAAAATGTAGGCGAACATTTGAACAAGCATTTGTGTTTCATTTGTAGGATCGAAGTGAAATCAATTGGGCGACAACTTGAATCTTGAATTATTGAACGGTTCAATTGATTTGTGTTTGTAAAACGTTTTCGATTGATATTATTGAATTGGTGCATAAACTAGGGCAGCCACTTTCATTCCAACACAAAATCGAATCATCTTTCGTCGGTCGATGATGCTGAACATTGTTCACATCGAGATAAACATGTTTGAGAGTCATTTTAACACTGTTGCCCATCAAAATACATGATACAAGCACTCAATTTTGTGCGACAAAATGCAAACATTCTATATTTGAACACAAAGTCGCAAGCAATCATTTCTAATTAGTGATTTATGTTCAGATGCAATGCAATAAAAGTCAATAAATGTGAGTGACAGAGATAAGAGTGGCCAGATACAGTTCGTATCTTGCTGAAAAATCGCCAAAAGCGAAAAAATATAAAAGATGAGAATTAACAACATCATGTTTTTGTCCATGTTCAAAAATATAACTAGTCACTTATCGTGGGCACTACACTACATTTTATTATTATTATCACAATTTATTTATATTTGATGAACAAAGATGGTTTTTGGTCATAAAAATGATAGGCTGCGCTCTCTCATTCCCTTCACCTTCTCTTCGTGTGGTATCAAATGTGAGATGCGATGGAAATTGTGATTTTAGCAAATTTTCGTCAATTGTCGGACGCTTGTGCTGCAAACAATGAACGCATCATCATGAAATGTAACATCGAGTCATAATCACACTGTGTGAATGTGTGCATAAAAAGAATTTATACGCACCAGCCATTTTCGATAAAACCGAAATTTATTTCCATTGCTTTTTATCCCATTCGAAGTTATGATGGTGCACATTCATGCGATTGTGTGATGCCTCGCTCAGAAACCGTGTGGCCAACATTGAGATGGAAAACACTTTACTTGATTTTACATTTATCACACAATGACAAATAAAAACCAGTTGTACACATATACAAAATCGGATAAATCCAGTCCATTTGGCTGTCGGTTTTTACACTCTCTGTCATCTCTAACATTCAATTCGCATGGCAACATAATAAAACTGAAACATAAAATAAGATCCTTTTGGATTAAAATACCGTATGGCATTGCAAGAGACAAACAATATCAAATTGACGAATTGTGTCAACGCTGTATCCACCATGAAGATGAGATGAGAAGAAGGAGAAAAAGATATTCGCTCTCATACTTCGAGATTTGTATCTCATTTTGCTGATTGCATTTTAGTTAATTCGTTTCTTTTGTTTGCATTTCCACACATACACAGTGCCTGACTTCTGTTACCAACGCCGAAAATTCATGAGCGAAACACATGTATTGTTGTATAGTAGTGTTTGCGCAGTTTTGCAGTTGTCATTTGATTGAGTGTTTTGCCATTAAAATGATTGACTCACCAAAATCCATGACAATATGGAGTAGATTTGTATATTTTTCTTCTTCTAGCATTGTCCGTCATAAAATAGGAAGTTTTTCACATGATTTATGTACAAAAATAAATCAGAATTAATAAATAAAATTGACTGTCAATAAACAAGCAGAATTATTACCTGTAAACATACATCATTTTCACCGAGATTCCAGTTCGACGACATTCATCACGGAAAAAAATCATACACTGTACATAAATAATGTGTGCGATTCGGACCCCCATTTTTTTATTGCATTTATTCTGAAAGACTACAAAGATGTATACACGTATAAATACGGATAGCAGAAGAAAGGCGAATAAGCAGATGATACAACATAAAGAGAACCATAAATAAAATATCAATTGGAATTGGTTGAGGTCATAAATGCCATTTCCATCGCATCGCATTAAAACAATAGAATATATATAGAATACATGTATTGAACTCACCTGCCATGACACGCACAATCGCAAAAGTTCACAGCCAAAGAGCAACAGCTGACAATATTGACTGTATACGCACCAAAATACTGAATTGATTACTGATTTGGGGCATTTATGAGCATGAAATTCTAAGAATGAAATGCCAAGAATCAAGAGCACTAAAGAGGGGAAAAATATGCTCACTTGTGTAGTAATCAAGACCATCTTTTACCACATCGAAATTCATATTTACTAATCGAAACGTATTAATTTCCAAATGATTGAGTTAAACGATAAGTCTAAGATAAATATTGACTGGATTTGTTGTTCGCCTCATCGTTCGCCAATGTGAGATGATTTAGATGATTTCCCATCGGCCGCAAAAAAATTCCATCGAAATAATTAAATCGAGAATATATCGGAAGCGATACGGCGTTTTGATTTAATTAACTGCTATCATAATGAACGTCAAATCACCATGAACACAAAAACGTGCTCATTTTTGCTAAATAGATTTGATTGGAGCTTGGATTTTGTTCGTTTCCTCTTTTATTTCGGAGAGATTCTTTTTTTTGTTTTTCTATTAAGTTTAAGACATTGCTAAATCATCTAATTATCTCACGTTTCATAATTTTATCAGTCATCTCAAGCTCACGCAATTTTTGCGGTTGGTAATAATCAAATTCATTTCCCAAATGTTTCTCAAAACAAATTCAAACAATCAAACAAAAAATCGCTTAAAATTAGACGCGTTCATTTCAATAAAACGTTTATATAATAATAAGAGGAAGTGATGAAAAAGTAATGTTTACCTTGTTGTCTGTGACTTTTTCCATAATAACTTTTTTATTGATCGTTTTTTTTTTTTGCTTCGCCCGGTAAAACAACAAAAGGTGAATAATCCGCTAAATAAACAAAAATGCATGCCGCAATGAATTTGACCGTAATTTTTGTTTTATATGGAATTTTATTTGCATCTGCCGTTGCATCTGTTTGTATGTAATGTTCACAATGGCTGTGTTTTTCTTCTTATAATTAAAATTGATGCTAGAGTGTATTTGATTGGGTTTTCGGGCGCTCTGACACTGTGATCATCAATGGTTGCTAATATGATAATATGTGTTTCGGCCCATTTTCACCGTCACGTTGATAATAATACATTTAATAGTACAATAAATCTATATAATAGCTGGAATTTGTTTGTCTCAATAATTTGTGTTTTTCTTTTTTTTTTAATGTTGTCGATTCTTCAAACAATTAAGAAACGTCCATTTTCCATGATAATAATAGTAGTCGATAAATAGTTGATTTTAAAATACAAATTTCAATCTCTATCAATTTTGGTTGTTGTTGTTGTTGTTTTACGTTTTAATTACATGAAAAGTGGATATGATTTTTTTATTTGTAAATTTTATTTGGTTGTTGATTTTTCACTCATTCTGCATCACAATGCATCAGTTTTCATATCGCCAAGAGGATATTGGGTTGTTTTTTATCGTCGCATTGTGAATGCGATTCGTTATTGGTGATTTCGTATTTATTTTCAATAATAGTCTTATAATAAACAATCAATCATTGGCAGTTTAACAACATATTCATATATCATTTTGGGTTTGAATCACCATCAAAGGAGAGAGGAAAAAATATCGGTCATAAATCATTCACAAAAACATAGAACTCTGTGTCTATTGGAATCACATTCATAAATATATATGTGTGTATCGATCGCATGTCCATTTGCGCAATGTACAATTTTCTACGATCTATTGTCATCTATGCCAATAAAATTGTGAACCACTCGATTCTCCCTCGCAAATCTATGATATGGCTCACTCCCAATAAGTCTAACGTTAGCTAAATTGTATTTTTACACGTTTATTAAAACTTAATTTGAGTTGATATTATTACGAACTAAGCTTTCTTCGTACCCCGCACACGCACAAAATTCTTTCTTTCTTATATTGACAAAAACGGTTCACTTAATTTAAATATTTACAAATGTACTTGAAACGGAATTTTTTTTTTCTCTCTTCTTAATATCTAGCTTAGTTACTATGGTAAAATAAAAATTCATTCGTTTTGATAGTTCTTGTTTTGTATATATCTTGAATTATTTAACACTAACAACAATTCGAAGGGAAAAAATTCAATTTCAAATATTATTTCTGCTTTTTTTCTTTAAAATGATTTCAGCTTTTTTCTTCTTCTTTTAATTCGTTTTTTTTATCATTTAGTTCTGTATGTGAGTGTAATTTGGGTTCTCAAAATTTCATGACCATTTGTTTTTTTTTTTTTAATAATTTATTTATCGAAAGATTGATATATGAATCGATATGGCTTATTTTTCCGGTTTTTGATATGAATGTGTTGAGTCGGTTCTCGTGACAATATGTGAATTTTACGAATGTTTTTGTTTATCATTGTGCGTGTCTGTATTTTTTTGGCTCTTGATAATTTATTTATTTCTCTTTTTTTGTGTTTACTCCTACAAAACGTTTGCTTTGCAGTAGCTAATCTAGCTACGCATAAGAAACCATTTGTTTTCTTATTGTTTTTCTTCATCAATCCCCTTCCGCTCCCCGTACAAGTTTCGAATGAAAATGCGTTCATCATTCGGCTGCTGCAATGGTTCGGTACAATGTTTGTTTACATGTGTTGTATGTGATTATCACAAATTCACTTGACATTCTCTATTGCGTTTTCTTGGCTAAAAGCTGTGTGTGTGTGCATGCAATGTTTGTTTACTTAGAGATGTTGTAGCAAACATACGATGACAATGACAAATGAACGAATTGTCTCAACTTTTTCCATTGATTTTTTTCTTGTATTGCTCTGTATTTATTTTAGTATTTTCTGGTAAAATTCTTCATTCTATAGAGTGTGTATGTGTGTGTGGGCATGTAGTGTGTAAAGTTTTCCATGAATTTACAGTTTTTGTATTTGTTGCTGTTTTTTTTGTCAGCAATTTCGGGATGAATAGCGTCGTGATGAACTCTTCGTTCAAAGAATAAAATAAGTAAGTGTTGTGCATTGAAACTTGGTCAACAGCTACTACATACTTTTTGTCAATTAGTTTTCTTGTTTCGGAAAGCGTCGAAATGCATTTCAAGTTTGGTCGAAATCCTTACAATGCAGCACCCAATAAATTCCTATTTAATATGATAAAGTTCGTCTGTTAATTGCTGACACATAAATCCAGGATGAGAGAAAGAATTTTGTGTGCACTCTCTCTCTCTCTCACACACACACTTACACACTCACATTCTGTTGCAATTGCGAAAATAAAGTGCACAATTCAATTATACCGAAGCGTTTCGCAGCCGCTTCAGCATTGAATGCAACTTTTGCCATACTTGGACACGACAATATGCAATGCCATGCAATGGAATATTGAATTTTGTATGCAGTGAGAGAATTATGACCGTAGCGGTTGGCCAAAACGAACATTTCTGATATATTGAGTTTGAACTACACTGGGAAATATTCTTACCATCGACTTCACCCGACATAAATGCGATCAAGTTAAAATTACCGGATGCAAACGAAAGAGTGTCGATAGCTTCATATATATGTATATATGGAGTCATCTCCATTTGGATAATTTGTGTGCAATTTTCGCATTCACTTTTCGAATTCGAAAATTATTATAGCAAATAAACCAAACAGACGAATTGAGAGATAAACTGAACTGACTATATAAGTTTTTAGAACAACTCTCTTCACTTTGCATAATTTGCCTCACTTTCGATCGGCATGATTTCATATAGCAGTTGTTATACAATGTTGTTCATATGTATTGAAATCGGATTTTGATATTTTGAATAGACGCAATTCGGTGTTATTTATTAAGTAGTTCAATGTAAGTGTGATTCAATAACCATCGGCCCCTCAAAGGTGATTACTGTTGAGTCAACATGAACATTTGAATTGACATGGCTACAACATTGGTTGTGGTTTTGTTTACGAAACATGTCGATATTCATGAAAATCTGAACCAAAATTCCTTTGAACAAATCGGCCGCTCGTCGTCAGCGTCTTCTCTAATACACTTTCGAGACAAGATCGGCTCATTGGCACTTGGAATAAATCGGTTTTGAGCAATAAATTACCGTTCCGGAAAAAGAGCTATCCAAACTTTTTTCGGTGTGTATACATTTTTATTTGGAGAAATAAAGTAATACATCATATCTCCGCAAATGTTTTCTTCTCTCTCTCTCTCTCTCTCTCTCTCTCTCTATCTTTCTCTCTTACGAAAAATGAACTTTGTTTCCATTCGAAAAAGGAAAGCACAATTCATTCCAAGCGATGTCAGTCAACTGAAGCGGTGCGAGAACTTTAAATCCATTTTAAGTTGAAAGATATGTATCCATTTTTCGACCGAATTTCGTTCGGGTTGAATGTACGTTTATAATGACTTTTCACCGATTACGTCACAATTTTGCACATAAGAAATATTACCGTGGATTTTGCAATTTGATTTCGTTTTGTTTGGGAATGTTGAAGCTAAATGTGGTTTTTTCTCATATATGTACGCGATATCGCTGCCATTTTCAAAAATAAAATAAAAATAGAATGGAAATAATGATGGTTCATCTTGTCGATGTGGAAAAAAAGAGATGTATCCTTTGATTTTGAAATGGTCGTCATTACGGTGTTATCTTGTCGAAAAATTCAAACATGTTTATATAAATACCACAATGAAAATAATTCGTTAGTATGCTTTGCTGAGCTCAAATCCGTGCTTTGGATCCGAAGTAAATAATAATAATAAATGATTTTATTTTTGGGGGTTTTATAAAATAAACCAACGTTGGCTATTTAAAATATTCAAAATCTCATTCGTTTGAATGCGCTCCGCCAAAAACACGCTCGCAAAAGCGGTTCACGTTTCCCTTTTGTTGGCCATTTATGGCGCTTTAGATGAATACCCCAGATATGAAATTCATTGTGTGTTGTGATTACGACAGTTGTGCTTCTATCAATTCTTCCCAAGTCTATTGTTGTCTTGCCGCGCTTCATTGAGTGTCTTGCATTTAGTTCAAATCTTTGCTCCATTCCATTTGTTCACGAATTTATCTCGATTTCTCCTTGCACCTCTGTACAAATGCGATACTCTCACCGCGCCGCAAACCCGTTGAGCGCGTTCAGTGCGTTCCAATTTCACTAATTCACATTAAAATTCTGGATGTGCTCTGCAACACATAAAAAGTGGATAACAGTAATTATAATATTTGCATCTTTAGCATCTCTCGATCGAATAACACGAAATGCCACACATACAAACAGACACACACACACCAGTTGTAAAACGGTATAATTTTAATAATGTACAATTTTCGATTTATTTTATATTAAGCGAGATAGATAAATTATAACGATATGTTAAGTGAGCACAGCAATTTGCAGTATTTTGTCGGTGATGGTGTGTATGTGTATGTGTTTGGTACACAATTAATATTTGCAATATGAGATCCGGGGTTTGTCGCTGCTAAATTATGGCGGTGCACGGAAATGTTCGTTTCCATTTCCAAGCCAAATTCAAATTGCAATGTCACTGGTTGCCAACGGTATTTGTGGAATTGATTGTATCTCACATGGAAATGTAATTCGTAATTTTTGGTTAAAATCCGTCGAAAAATGAGGGAAAAAAAGTTCATTTGTTGTTTTTGGCACGACTTGAGAAATCATTACATAGTCAATTCAATTAAAATTCAAATGCTCAAATATCCCAGGAATGACTTTATGAATATACCTCGATATTTTAATGGTAAATGTAGAAATTCATATGAAGATGGCATGCATCAATGGTATTTTCTCTATAATAGCTCCATTGATGCACAACAATAGTCATTCACGCAAATGATAATATGTGAATGAATAGCAATTATACAAATTATACAGAGAAAATTGTTATTTCTCGAATTTACTTTGATTTCATAATTGGCGAGAATCGCTCATGGTTTTGAATTTTGTAATTTGAAAGCGAATAACGAAAATGTTTGAAATGCTCGTTGAACACTATATCAAACTACAATTATAATTGGAATTTGCAACATTTACATGTTCAAAGCTTCTTCTTTCATTCGTATCTGTCACTTTGATTGAATTAAATCGTTCATAAAATATGTAATTCATAGCACTTTACACGGCGCACACACCAATATTCGAGATCATTAAAAACTATGAATTCTTGAAAATGTTGGAGAACAGTTGCTCGAAATGTTCTGTGTGCCAAATTTGCAAAACCATTTTCTTCTCATCGAAACGGCTAAAGTTCATTGATTCCAATGGGAATTGGCAGCGTCAGAGGCACCTCTCTCTCTCTCTCATACACATTTTTATTCACCGCGAATAGCACGAACAATTTTCATATTAAAAATAATTTTCGCTCTCATAAATTTTCATCGTTTTCAATTTTTCCGTTCGTTTTAGCCCTATCACATGCACATGGTGTTTTTGGTTTATTTAAAATGCCCAGCGGATAAAAATTGCTAGCAATATTACATGTTTTTTTTCCTCTCCCGATTCTATCTCACTTTTTTTGCGTTTTCTAACATGTGAACGGGAGAAAAAATTGTATATAAATGGTATTCTACATTGAAATCGAGTTTGATGCGATCCATTTTATAAATCGCATAAAAATGAACGAAATATTTTCGCTCATCGGTTATATAATTTCAAACGAGAAATGAACACATAAAATCGATATGTGAGCAGGTCTGGCTCTCTCTTTCATTTCAAATAGTTGAATATTGATTGAATTTTGGTTTTTGAAATGGCTTTAAAAACAAACAAACACAAAAAATAACCGCTTTGTTTATGGATTCAATTGAAAACTTTATCATTGAAATTGATAAGCTGTTTCACAATTCAATTTCTCAAAAGCTCTTCAAGCAATTGCCTTACATTTCGAAATTTCTTGCTATGAATATAAATAGACCATGATTTTTTTTGTTTTAGTGATTCGCCTTCAATGGGGAATCAATTAAATTGATTTTATAGCGTTTTTGGTTCAAAAGTGGTAATAGATTATAGATCTTCATGGGTGAGAAAAATAATGAGGAACAGGTGGGCGATTCTTTATGATATTTTTGAACAGGAAAAATTTATCGGAAATAATCATAGGTGTTTGAGCAATGTGACCTTTGACGGTGCTTTTTGATAGCTTCATACATTTTGATTTGAGAATTTGAACACCAAAACACCTAGGAAAAAAGGGGTTTTCATTCTACTCGAATAAAAATTGATTGAGGGGGGCAGGAGCGATTTCGGTACAAAAAAAACTCTAGAAAATCGAAAGAATAATCACAGAGGGTGTAATTTGAAATTCATCGCTTCGGGGAGGGAAGTGTTTTGTACCCTCTGCTCAGATTCTATGGCAGCTTTTGAGTAACGTGTGATATTTTTACAAAAAAAAATCTTAAAAATTTTACAAGCACACACACTCATGACATAAAAAACAGCAAATCACGATTCTTTTTATTTTATGCGACAATCTTACCTATTCAGTTTGCGTGTAACCACACATCGCATTCCTTTTACGATCAATACGTTGAAAATGTTCTATTTGTACCTTCAACTCCAATGTAATCATTACGTGGGAGAAGTACATGTGTGAAAATGGCATTTAAATTTAAATTTTTCACATCAAAAAGAAGAATGACGAATTTTAAAATTTATAGAGCAACGATTGGGATCGTTTCTATCAAATCGAACCGAACCATGCCAAAAATATATCGCATGTTTTTAAATGTATCGCTTTTTTTCTTCTCTTTTCTCGCTTCACCATTTGCAATTTGAGTTCGTTCTTTGTTGTTTTTCTTCAGTTTTCCAGTAAAATAGTTCGTTTCAACGATTTTACATACTTTTTGTGTCCTGTTTTTTTGTGCACTATATTATTAATGCTATCAGTTTTTGTTTGTTCTCTCTTCGCTTTCAAGTACATTTCTATATCGAAACATTTCAAATGTTAAACTTACAACTCTATAGGCATATTTTATAGTAGTATTATTATATACAAACAAACGACTACAAACCTTTATCGCTCTCGCTCTCTTTCTCTCACACAATTTGTAACACATAGATGTATATATATAGTTTCTGTTTTGTTTCATCTGGATTCACAGTTGGCAGCGCAGTAACTTGGGCGCATTGAGTGATTTATACACAACTTTCGGGCACACGTGTTGCCATTAACATATTTTTAATAGCGTGAACATTAATATCTAAATCGATTGATGTTGCATTCGCTGAAGCTGCTGCTGCTGTTGTTGTCGTAGTCGGTAGTCCCATTGCGACTGCAGTGACCATTGCTGTCGATGTTGGTTTTATTGTTCCAGTTGTTGTTGTGCTGCTGCAACTGTTATTACTATTCGTAAAGTATGAACCTAGTATTAAATCTTGGGATGGAACATTTGTTGTTACAGATTTTAGCAGTAAATTTTTCGGGCGATTTTCATGACCAGAATATTTAATGTCATACTATATATGGGGTAGAATACATGTACAGCATCAGCAGCGGCAAGAAAATGGAAAAAAGAAGAAGAATAAGAAAGAGAAAAGGTAAAAAGAGAGAAAATCAATGGTTTTTTTAAAATTGTTTGAATGCAGTGAAATGGTTATCAGATGAAAATAAAATGCCCAATTTCACATTTTCGCAAAACCGAAACAGAAAACACCCGTTCGCACCAGTATCAATGCTGTGAACAACATTCATCGACGAAGAATTGGTGTACTTCTCGCCTAATTCAAACGGTTTTTCGGGTCACTCAGCTGAAATTATTTCGCTTTTCCGTTGTATCTCTTTCACAACTTTGACCCGTTTTTTTTATTGCATGTACATGTATATGCAATGAGGCGAATTGCTTAGTCAAGGTTTTTCGCTTGAATGCAAAATGTGATGACGTATAATCTCATCCGGAAAATATGAACGACATAATATCGAATCAACAACGAGAGAAAGCTTAAAACAGCGGAAAAACTTATTATTTACAGGTATTCATTTTGGAAGCGAGCACAATTTGTCAACCAATATAGAAGAGAGAGTGGAACAAAAAATACAGTCGGTAAAATGTCGTTGCCGAATGTTGTAAGCAGCATCGTATGTCAAATTAAATTTGTATCAAGTTCGAGCAACAAATATTAGCTACACAATACACGAACTTGTGTTCGCCGTTCGATCCGCATGCACAGTGATATATTCCAGTTTTTTTTCGCCGACTATCATAATTCTTGGCTGGCATTCTCTTTTTCTCATTCTCGCTTGCTCTCGATTTACGCACTCAATTGTACACTCTGCTCAAGAGTATTTAAAATGTGCCGCAGTGTTGTTTGCGAACGAACGAAAGAACCATGGAGAAAAAATTGAATTTGAAAAGGTTAAAAATGGTTGACTGCGGAATGATTAAATGGGTTCCAGCGTCTGAATATGTCTTTCTTTGTCTCGGTGGAAGCGTTTTGATATTGCTTTTTTATTCGGTATGATACTTGAGTGTTGGCGCGTACATGGGCGATTATATTGTTTCTTGTGTGTATGTCGTCGTCGCCACCACCACATGAATTGTTGTTGTTCATCGCATTTTTTTGTTGTTCATTTTCAAAAGTATCAAAAATATGATTAACTCCTTTCGTTGTCAAGGTCTGAATTTTTCAATTTATCGGCACTTATGCAAGAATACGAAAAACTTTTTTTATCGCTGATATTTGTCAGTTGAAATTATAAAACGTTATATACATATCGTAAAGCATTGCTCGACAGAAAAAGTGCAAAGAGTTTATTAGTTGAAAATAAGCTTTCCACTTATTTCGTCTATGTATAAATGTGTGTAGGTGACTTTTTACACAAGCTTTTGTGCGGTTTTATTATTGCACGTGAGCATGCACATGATATTACATGAAACAGAAGAGCGAGAAAAAAAGTGCCCGCTCACCTGGTAAATACCGCTGTTGCCGCTGGCGAATTGCTTTCAATTCAAGTGTGTTTCTCTATCACTTTCTCTCATATAATTCGTGAAAATAAAGTATGCGAACGAAAAAAAATGAAACAGAAAATTACTGGTGAAATGCACCGTAAAATATCCACGATATAAAAAAACACCGTTGAACACTCAAGAAGGGATGAAGTGTCATAAAAAATCTCGTTACTAATCAATCTCCAGGGAAATTTTGCATTGGACTTTTTTTACAGGTTTTCTTTTCAAATTTATCGCACCTATTATACCGTTCACTGGCACTTTTACCATTTGCATTATTCTATTTTTCATTTTGGTAAGCGGATTTTGTAGGTGTACTTTTTTTCCCGCTCATTTTCGTCGTCGCTTGGCATATTTTTCTCTTTTTTTGTTGTTTGTTTGAAAAGGTGCATGACAGACAGTACAATTGCCAGAGTATACTGCATCAGAACAATAAAAAACGATGAAAAGCCAAAGAAGAACAATAACCAAACAAAAATCGTATGTACAAAGTTGTTTTAGCATTTTGTGAATTGCTTTCGGCCAGTTGGCATTACCATTTTTTTACATATGTAATGCCACAGTATTCTTCAGGCTGTTTTCCACTTTCTTCAATGTTCAGCGATAATTACATCAAAAACTTTATCTTTTCAACGAGAAATTTTTTTTCCAGCCACCCACCTTTCATTTCTACGATTATATAATATAATAATGCGTTGACGAAATCTGACGTTTGATATCATATCTCGTAATGTTGCTTCGCAAATCATAACAAAAAACGTCTACACACTTTTTAAAACATTTTTTGGAATTACCAAAGAAGAATAAAAAAAATAAAGAATTTGGTCGGCGTAACACTTGAATTTTCGCTATTTTGCACCTTTTCAAAATAATTTCGTTCAACGAGTTTCGGCTTTGTCTAGCCGTGGAAATGTTTTGTAGCAAGCGTCAAAATGTGATCTTCAAATTCCATGCGAATCACGTGTACTTTCGATGTGATTTTATGTGCTGTGCCAGCTTAAACACTGTTTTCAAACACTCAATGATGTGATTGTTTCGGAAAAAATCCGATCGAATCAATGGACATTACATGTTAATCGGATTATTGAGTGGAAAAAACAAGACCTTGAATTGAAAATTTTGAATTTGAACTTTTATTCTCGCCGTTTTTTTTCTCATATGCATCATCTATTCGACGAAATTATTTTATTGAAAACATTTGACAAAAAAAGTGTATTCAAACAAAGGTATAAAATCCACTTTTATATTGCATTTCAATATAAATCGAAGCTCTTTTACGTTTGACTTTTACATAGGGCATTGCGTTTGATTTGTAAAAAAAGGGGGAAAAACGCATTCCATTTAAATCGGAATCAACATCAGAAATCGCATCAAATTGATTTGAGCGAAATCGAAAAAATGCCAACACGAAGTGGTGCGTACAAAAAGCTTAAAAGTTTTTAGTTTTTTTTTTTTTAATTTAAAAAGTTTCAACTTTTTGTTTTTTCATCGATTCACTTTAATATTCTGTTCCGACTTTTATTCTGTAAAACCAAAAAAAGAAAATGAATTTGTACTTACATATGGTTCGTCCGACCATTCTGTTTTGTAATTACTAAGTGATATATCGTTGGTGGCTGGAAGATACAACACCGAAAAATCGTGAATAAATAAAATAAAAAAATGTTTCCGTTAGAGATAAATCATTTACAAATTTCAAATGTACAACCGGATAGATACACAGAGAAAAAAAAGTTACGAATGTAAAATTGTTTTTTTTTTTTTGTTTATTCAATTCGAAAAACTTGATGAAAAAGTGCAAATTTTTATTTACATACTAAATGTTGAATATACGTTAAAAAGTTCATAATATACATAAAAATTGAAGAAATAAACTTACAAAATTGTGCCGGAATGACGTCTGGATCACGTTCATCTTCGAGTAATTCGGTTGCAGCCTTAATGTCCTTGTTGCCACTATTATTATATTGCCATCGTGGGCTGGATTTTGAGTACTTCTGCTTTTATGTGAAAATATTAAAAGAAAATGCAAAAAACATTACAGTTATGTCATCGAATGGAAAAATGGATGAATGTGTAGCGTTTGGAAAAACGAGGAAGGAAAATCATCCAGTTAACATGAATTTACGAGCATAATTTGTGACAAACATTAAAAAAAAGTGCCAGGGTACCTGCACACATGAAACCGATAATATTTTTTTTGTTCACTGTTCTTTTGTTTATTTTTTTTTATTTCTCGAAGTCATAATTTTGCGCTGAAACTTTTTTTTTAATTAATTTTTACAACAAGGCAAAGTCATAAAATAGTTGTGATTTAGTACTCTCAGTGCTAAATGGATGAACGGCATAAAAGCGAAATGGGACGAAATTGCTAAAAATGTTAACATCGAATGCAGAGCGAGTGAGCGAGAGAGAGAATATTTATATAAAAACTTGCTGGCTCTAGTTATTTTGCTGCTTTGTTATTTTCGGAGAGCTTATCGGCGCGATGCATGATTGCTAGAAGTGGCATCGGACGTTAACATAAATGATGAAAAAAAAATACATATACACACAACATAAGAAGTGCATTGTTTTTGTTTGCAATGTAGCGGGAGCGCTAATGCGACATTTTTCTTTCTCTTTCTCCTTCACTGATGCACACGCCATATTTGTTTAGTTGACTCTCTTTTCTCTTCGCCAGTAAATCCGTACGTATTTGAATTAACCTATCCCCCGAAGCACCAAGTTGATGCATTTGACGAATATTATAATAGAAATAATGCATAATGTGACATAATAACGTTTAAGCGACTATAATTTTATATGAATATTGTGATTGTTACTTAAGGTGAAGGAGAGAGGCGGGCGCAAAAAAAAAAAGACGAAGGCGTAATGAACAACGTCAACAAATTCTCTTCAATGTTGTAAACTTTAATCGAGTATACTGTTGTTTACATTGCACACACACTGTCGGTCGGTTGATGGCGCTCCCGTATTACTCTTGTTTTGTAATCGTGTATGTGTGCTGGTGCTGCTTTTTTTAATATTGTTTTCGTACTTTTGGCGAAAAGCATAAAAGTGGAATCGTTGGTAGACGCAAATTATTATTGAAGCAGTAGCAGACAAAGAAGAAACTCTCGTTACATCGACTGAATGTGGCAGTTTCAGTGTTTTATGCGTTTTAATATCGAAAACAAACAGAATTTCACTCCAGAAAGACACATACATATATACTTATTGAGGGTGTGTGTGTTTGTGTGAAAGAGTGCGATGAAGAAAGAGCGCTTGCAAATAAATATATCCGTTTATAAAATATGAATATGATGGTTTGAGGCACTTATTACAATCATTATTATCGCAAAACTGCTACCGTAAATGGTTGAGCTACTAAAATTCAAGCAAAATTGTGTACATACGATGCATATCGTACCGGCGACTAAACTGTGTATGTCGGTATGGTGTGTTAAAGTTTCGAATAAAAAAATGATGAAAAAAAACAAAAGCTTAAACTCAAACTCAAGCTCAAACTCTTGGGCACGATGACGCGAAGCAGAGATTGTTTTATACATCGTACACAAAAATCAAACAACGCTTCAAAATAAAACAAGTTCAGTGCGTTTTTGCTGCCAACGGACCGAATGCACAACGAAAGAGCCACTCTGTATGCAAGTATAAATAATCGTTATTTGGTTAAAAAAGCACGTGAAACACAACTATGCCCGAACAAAAGGTGAACTGCGCTGGTGTGTGTGCTTGCGTAGATGGAACCCAAATATATAGCAAAACTATCGTTCTAACATTGGATAGTACGGAATTATTATCAAAAGTGAATACAATAGTCAAAAAGTTGACGCTCTCTATGCTTAAAAAAACATACAAACACAAACCTTTGTTATCGTATCCGTGTGATTGGCATTGTTGGTTGTTCCATTCGTATTACCGACAACACTTGTACACAGTAAACTGCTCGATTGCTTGGAGCTATCTGTGACATCGTCGGGTTTGTGTTGCTGTGACCGCTTCCATAAAATGCGAACAACACAGTACGACATCAGACATAAGATTGTCAATAAAATACCAAAGAATATCGGTGACAGTTGCATTGCACCATTTTCCACAGCTGCAAAAAAAAATTGTATGAAAAGATTATTATTTAATGAGCATTTGGATGCCATTGATAATAACTCTTGTCACAAATAAGTGTCTGCGGCAATTATATCATTATTTAAAATCTAACACTTACAGTTTGGATGATGGTCTCGATCGCCAATCAACAAATCCTTGAGTATAACCTTTGGACTTCGACCTTTTTGATTCAATGCATAGATAACCACTCGAAATGAACGATCTTCAACGCTATCGAACGAATGCAATGCTTCCAATGATTCAACCAAAAAGTATGGCTCCTCCGAATTGGTAAGGTTAAATCTGTAATTTAAAAAAAAAACCAGATAAATATCAATCATCACTTTCAACGTCAAATGTGCGCTGTAAAAAGCGTCTGTAAAACGTACCGTACGCGTCCCGTTTGCGTTGAAACCAATTCCAGCACAAAATACTGCGGCAAACCTCCATCATAGCCAGCAATGCAATGAATTTCAACGGAAATCTGCGTTTGGTTGCTATAGGTGCAGTTGCGTACAGCCGAAGGAAGACCTATTTTAAATGTACAAGCAGACAAACGAGATATATAAATGCGATCCATTTATTATGCAGACCGTTTAAAATGACGAATTTTAAAGCTTTTAAATGACATCTTTGGTTGAAACTTTGCATTTTAAATATCATACCGCAACGTGCAATGAATCAAATTTCACGCATAAATTTTCACGTCAGCCACCTAAGCAATAATGGATTAGAACATGTCTGATTTTCTATTTTTGTGGTGTGTTCTTCATCGTCTTCAATCAAAATGATGAAGAGAAGAAAAAAACCATATGAAGGATGTGAGGTAGTCGAGTAAAAGAATTTATTGCTTGGAAAATGTGATTAGGTGTCGGAGCTGTAGGTGGTTTCATTTACTTGAATCGATAGTGTGGCAGACAACGGAATGTAAAATGTCAGATTGAGACAAAGTGATAGGTAAGGACAGAGTGTGAGATTACAAGAGGTTTAGAAAATTTCATCACGACCACTCAATCAGCCAACGACTTCTTTGGCACCCCTCCCCACCTCTTCAGTAGATCAATTTAATCAATTTATTGTTGTGTTTCAGTTGCTGCGATGAATTATGAATTTTTCTATTTAATACCATCTGGTGTGCGAAACTTTGTTCAACTTGAGAATTGATTGAAAATGACTGACGAATGGCCAACATCGCTATTACCATAGCTACTGCTATATCGTTGCCGTTGCCGCCAAAAATCCAATTGAATTTTGGTGTCATCACGAATGGCGACGTGTAATGTGCGCACATAAAGTTTTATTTATTTTAAATTAAATTTGCATTGTGTTCGATGTGCACGACGTATTCAACGTTTCTATCATCATTGCTCGGATTTTTGGTTTGGCTCACGTACGCGTTAGAAAATCAGAATTGTGTGTTGTGCGATGGTTGATATTTTTTCCCTTCATCTCATGATTGCAATGCATATTATTTTATCTCACGTTGTCTTCGCAGGACTATAAACGTGGTTATTCGTTTTGGATTTTTTTTCTTTCTTTTAGATAGCGCGCACGCACATCCGACAAAATAGCAGTAATCTCAGTGTCACTCAACAACATGAGCAACAAGCGATCATATCCAAACGATGATGAAAATTCTTATTGTTTCATTGTACTTTGGTGAAAGTTTCGAGGTATGATAGCAGCGTCTCTCTCTCCCTCTGTGGGTGGGTTTGTGTTTGTCGATTCAAGCCAAAAATTAGATTTTCCAAATATTTTGTTGTTTCGTATACTTATTGCTCGTCTTGTTCTTTGTCATAACCCTTTTATTACCTGTTATTGTTGTGAGTGATAATGAAATTTGAATAGACACACATACACAGAGTTAGAGGGAGTTTGTCGTCTTGTAAACATTCCATAAGGCCAATTCTGTGGCATACACTGAAACTCTTTTTGTCGCTCATAAAAGATGCGAAAGAACATAGATATAATCAAAATGAATGCTCTTTTCCAAAACTATCATTGTTGCAATTTACAAATATGAATAGAAAGAAAACTCGCCGCGCTCCATTTAAAATCATATCATGATTCTCTATTTTCCATTCCGGCGAAAAACAACAGCATTGCTTATAAAATATTCGGTAGATTACAAGTGACGACAGTATTATCAGTTTCTTTGGTAATGGTGTTTTCGGTGTTTCATCGCCGACGCGAATAACTTTGCTTACGCAAAATCTGTATATGACAATCTCAACGATAATGGAATTGACGGTTTTTCATTCTATAAATTCTCTTATTATTTTCATTTGATTGCGCTTTAAAAAAACTACCCGAAATGCAATTTGTTTTTATGAAGATATCATTTTACACCAGCTAAAGTGCGATAACAATGAGTATACAGTGTATTTCATTTCATTCCCTTTAGTCATAATTCAAAAATTCAGGTAAAAATGCAAACATTTTCAAATCTAGAAATGGAAATGATGATGTTTTTGACTCACTTGCTAATACAATTTGGAAAACACATGGTTGACTCTGAATGCCGACTTCGTTTTGTCCCCAGCATGATAAAGTTCCGTAATCCTGTAAGAAAGAGAAAAAAAACGGTGAGAGCAAGGCAAAAGGACAAAGTTATAAATGTAATTTGTTAATTGGAAATTTACGATGCATACACAAGTATTCATGTAATAGAAAAAGGTCAGCGGCAAAAATGACAAAAATTAAGCAACTTTGTTGGTTCAACAAGCATCAAAGATGAATGAAAATGATAAACAGTTGAGCGAAGAAGAAAAAAAAATTGTGTCGCTTCACAAAGTGGAAAAGGAAACAGTTTTCACAATTTTTGTAATTAGGTCAATGAGAGAATAATTTAGTCGCAATTTTATTGAAAGTTTTTTTTTTAAGAAAGCGTGTTCTGTACCTACCGTTTCACTTTTTGGTTTGCCGAACGTAGCAATGGCAAACAGTGCGGAAAATGAAAACTGAATGAACGACCATAACAATTGCAATAATGAAAAATTGAAATGAATTTCGCGTAAACATTTCCACCAATAATAATTTGAATGTTTACACAGTCATGCAATCACCGAACACAAGTACACAACCAAATGATGAATGCTGATTTTCTGTGACGACCAATGTAAATTAAAAAAAAATAAGAGGAAAGAGATTTATTCATGCGACGTTGAATGGCATATTCATCTTTTTGGTCATCATTACGACAACAACCGAGCAGGCAAAGTAGCAAAAAAAAAACACACTCATTTCATCACCGGATCATATTTTTGCTCGGCTCGTATAATGAATTCACACGAGATAAGTGTATTGTTAGTGGCAACGGTAGAGTTTATAAGCAACAATCGTCGACTACTGCATCAAATTTACACACTTTCGGTGCGATATTCAGTCTCAGTCGGTTGGTTTTACTAACATATAAAAATGTGCGCATAAATTTTCCATTTTCTCTCGAAATTTATTCATTACAAAAGTTCCTTTTCAACGTTAAACAACGACCGCTCACAATTACTCTCTTTCATTCTCTCTCTCGACTTCTCTTTCCCCCTTATTCACATAATTTTTTTTATAGAACCAGCTCGCTACCATCGCGTTTAGTGTGAGCCGATTTTTGGTTGTATTTAATGTGAAACAATGCATCGTGTTGTAGTGGTTATCACAACCCGCCTGAAGGTAATGCACATTCTATACATTCGAATGGCTGTCGGTTGGAAAGCCAGATACTATCAAATGAGATTTTACTGAATTTAAACGTTTTGCACTTGTTTTCGCATGATATTTCCATTCATGTATACGTTTTATTTACAAAACACCACTTTCAACCGGCCCAATACAATCTAAATCGTTCTATCATCCGTCTTCTCTTCACATCGTCATGGTATGCAACACTTTGCAGCTCAACAAAATAGAACACCGAATTGAGATGAACGGAAATGGAAAGTGCACCCGTGAACGTCTCGGATTTTAATTTCATAGATTGAGCTTTCTGAAACTGCAAAGCATCAGACTGAAACTGAATCAAACATACGTACACCTTATTCATGGATCACTTCCAAAATGGTAACAAAATGTAAGAAAGAATGTAAAACAAATGCAAAAAAGCACAACCACACCATATTCATTCAAATTGAAATTTACACATGAAAATTCGTGTCCGAACCGAAATATTTTATGGAATAATATTTGAGCTATCCCACAAACGATGATATTTTGTAATATTTTTCAGGTTTGTTTTTCAAGTACAAAAATATTCAAAAACAAGTATATATGCGGTGCTCATTGCTAGAAGTGGATGGAGAGTCGTGAATAAATTTTCAAAGGCGACAAAGTGGTTTGTTCCGACAAATCAATACTGCCTGTATACTGACAAAATGAAACGTATCTAATTGCATTGCATGGCATGAAGCAATTGTATGTCATTTTACGCATTGCAATCCGATTCAATTCATAGGGATCGTTGTTGTGCTTGTTACCAATTTTGATGCTGTTGTTGTAATCGATAAATCGTGCCGGAGATAGAGAAAGAGCAGCAAAATTGTTAACCAACTGCATACGTGTGATGCGATACAATGTGACAACAACAAATTCAAAATGCTCGATGAAAAAAAAAGAGATTGGCTGAACGAGGTGCTTTTTTCACCTTTTTGACAACAACAATGAAAAGCAATGGCTTAGGAGAGCACAACAACAACAAAATGAGAGAGAAAAACAATGTATTCAATCGCTTGTACCCGATTCGAAAATTGGTAGTCAGATGAATGAGAAAATGCGCATAAAATCGAAATAAATAAAGATCACACATTCTCGTGTATCGTTTGCCCAATGCATAGAATCCGGTTTTGGCATTCGCTTGTTATTGTTATTTGCTCGATTCGGCACGTTTTCATTGTAAATACCGCGGAGTAGTAATTTTCTCCCTCTCTCTCTTTCTGTCTCTTGCACAATGCTTTTTTCCATCAAGCTCTCTCATACAATTTGTTGTAACTATAGCTCAAGCACATTCAATATGGCTCTCCGCCGTCACCACTGTCGGTCGCTTTTGCTGCATTTTCTGTATGCATTTCGTTCGTGCGCATTGCTTTCCGAGCTAAATATGAATTTGCAGTTCGTGTGCGTCAGTTTTTCACTTCGTCTTCCATTTTCTTCTTGCCTCCCTCTCCCCAGCTCTCCCTCCTTTCCCCTCTCTTCACTCGTTTGCATTCATTTTCATTTTCACAAGTTATGTTTTTCAGTTATCGGTTTTTGCATCATTTGTATTCGTTTGCACTTTATTGTTTAATTTTCATGGAAATTTTGTGTGAATGCTTTCAATTTTCCGATTCGTTGACAGTGAATGTTATTAGAGTGCGAATTTTTTTTTGTGTATGTGTGTTAAAAATTTACGACAGATATTGAGAGTTTTGTTCGGTGTTGCTGTTTTTCAATTCACATGCAACAAGAACTGAAAGGCGAGAGAGAGAGAGAGAGAGAGAGAAGCACGAAGACAAGAAAATAAACAAACACACATACACATAAGTGATATCGAATGTTACGAAATAGATTCAAAATGCGATGTAACAGCCATGGCAATGGTAAAATGAGCCATTTTGTTTATGGTATAATGTAATACAAGAATCCGTGCGGACGAATATCGGTTTCTTAACATGGTTCATTCAATTGCTTTATTTCGACATTGTAGTCGACTTGTTCTTGTATACGTTGCACGACAACACCGCACACAGCGCACACATATAGAGCGCATTCATATATTGGAATGCATGGATGAAATGACTTTATTTATTCGTAGCTGGAACCAACATATTTAATCTTGTTCTAAATAAACATACTAGCCTCAGCTAAATGAATGACATTGCATACATTTCGAAATTAACATTGAAAATGGCTTTATTTAGATAGGATGCGCAAGCAAAAACTACCATCACCACTACGGTTGTTGTTGTTGTGCTTGCTGCCTTTTACCAAACAAATAAGATATGCATTTATTCGGTTGCGTTGAGTTTGGAATGCAGCTCACACACAGCATTTTCACTATGGCCATGTATTTGCATGTGGTTGTACAGCTGATACATATTATGCGTGCATATTGGATTTGCTTGAACTGACTAAACACACCATTTGCCATTGTGTCGCTTTTCAATACAAATAATCTTCAGTTCAACACCTATCCTCAAACTCAATGGCACCGATACACAAAAACACCAACAACAACAACGGCAACGACGGCGACGACGTCTTATTTTATCAATGCATTCTCCAATTCTATTCACTATTCATGAAACTTAATTAACTTTACAACACAATTTTCGATGCCAAAGCAATTTACGGATCAGACGTTATTTATGTGTATGTACAGCAAAAACCCGGCTTTAAATGTGTATCGACTGACAACACAATATCACACATCGAAAGCACTTGCAATCAAATTCAAAACATGAAAATCATTTTTTTTTAAATTTATAATGGCAAACCTTTCGCTTTTCGGTTTTACACGAGTCACGTCGATTGATTCCATTATTTTTAATTGAATTGTTATGTTATGTCACCTAGATAATGATAAAAATAGTGATCGTCACACAAAATTCTATTTATGGAAAATGTAAAATTTTTCGAAAGTGTTTTCTATTACAGATCATAAATCAAATCCAATTACATTTAATTTATATATATATTCCAAAGTTCACTTGAAATTCGATTTATCTAAATTTATTGATCTTTCGAACCCAAAACATAAACCATTGTTTTCAACTAATTGTGTTATCGTTTATTTCATAGTTGATGTTAATTTGTGGCTTTTGTTAGGGGAAATGCTTTCGATTTAGTTTAAAACTAATTTTTTCACTTTTGTTCAAACTCAATTAGTTCTAAATGAGGACACACTCTGAAATTAAAATGGAAACAGAAAAGTGATTTAGGAATTAAATTCAAAATTTATGTTAAATGCAAAACGTATCAAACGTATCTTTTCACTCAATTTCACGGAAATCCTATTTATAATAGGAACTACTTTGACTTTGTTCTTCTTGCCCTCCATCTGTTTCTTCGTGGAATAGCTTTTAGGTCACTTTATTGTTTTTCAAATCTTCTTCATTATAGCTTCGGCTGTTTTTTCGTTTTCTGTTCGCCATTTGTAATCTCATACAATTTAACAAATTAAAATTCTGGAAATAAGCAATTGCTAGCTAATTCATTCAATGAAACTATGGGAACCAATTCCATTTTACTTTATTAATTCAAACTTGTGTAGCGTGAATCTGTAAGTTGCTGACGAGAAATGAAAGTGCTCGTAAATTGGGCACTCTCTCAGCAATTTCAAATACTTTTTTTTAGTTCATCTGAGAGAAACCACTAATTTATTGAGACGAAAATGTTAAATAAAATTCCATCCATTTGTAAGCGCGGATTCTCAATATATAAAAATGAAATAAATATGGCATACATGAAAAGAGAGAGAGAGGGAGCAAAGCAACAACAAGACAAACAAAGTGCCCAATTTATATTCAAGTAACGTTGCTATAGATTTGAAATTGCTTCCATCCATCAGTCAAAATATATGCATTCGATCTGTTCAT